AAAGGTTGGGCATGGGGCTAGCAACCCCATCCTCTAAAGTAAACTCTGCTACAGAAACTTCAAGCCACTAGCTTGGAGCCCTATGTTCCACTGGGGAACGTGAAGGAAAAATTAATTAAATTTAAAATTAATCCCACCTTATTGTGTGGTTGTTTGTTAGTGCGTGAAGTGCAATAGCTGAGCTTTTTTCTAAATTACTTATCTTTTCAGGGTCAACCATTCTTACCTTAGCTAAATTCTTATGTTCTGATAATCTGACTATCCCTGACCTACTAGTTTGACCTATGTAGTTGACCTCACAGCCATTGCAGGGTATTTTGTAAATTATATTATTTTGTTTAATTGGATCCAACGGGTCTTTTAGCCTACAGAGCTTGTCTCTGAGTGAGTTTGTAGGTTTGAATGCCACCCTAATTCCTGCTTTATTGAGAATCCTACGTAGGGCCTCAGATGTCCCCTCCTTATATGGTATAACAGTGGATGACTTATATTCTTTCTTATTTGTGTTATCATTAATAGTTTCACCATTATTTTTATTTTGCTTTTGGTCTTTACTGATCTTCCTAATGAATCTTATAGGATAGTTATTTAACACCAAAGCCTCTTCTATCTGTTTCATTTCATCATTTAGGTCTTTTCTTGTGCTACTTAGTGCTACTGCTCGGTTTGTTAAACACTTAACTAAGCTTGCCTTAACAGTTAACGGATGAGACGAATTAAAGTCTAGATATCTATTAGAATGAGTTGGTTTTCTGTAAACACTAGTGTGTAGTTTACCTTCTTCTATTCGTTTTATTTTACAATCTAACATAGCTAATTCTCCTTGTTCATTTTCTGATTCAAATGTGAATTTTATTCCCTCTATTTGTGAGTTTATATGTGTCGGGAAGCTAGAGATATGTTCTGTTTTTAACACTGTGAAAGTGTCATTCACATATCTCCACCATATTTTTGGAGTAGGGTTAAGTGTATTGAGGGCACTATTTTCCCAGTTGTCCATAAATATGTCTGCTACGATAGGGGACATTGGTGATCCCATTGCTACACCTTCTGTTTGTCTATATATTTTGCCTTGAAACTTAAAGATAGTAGGTGTGAGGCATAACTGAATCCCTAACATAATTTGTTCAATGGGTAGCTTTGTCGTATTTCCCATCTGATTATAGTTGATCAATAATACTCGTAATATTATTTCCGAATGTACATTATCTCACATTGATTTTTAATCCAATATCTAATCGATTACACACATGTATATAAATGGAAGAACAAAGTTGTGTGAATAACTCGATATGATTATGAGCAATAGTTTGTGCTCGAAATGTGGTCATCAGTTAATATTACTGTATAACATTGTGTGATTTATCAAAATAAAATCTTATCTATAATAGAGTTATATTCTACCACAGTGGCCAAGTTTTATACTTATATTATATTAAATAGAAAATTTAAACTGTACGATATAGGTGTTGATTTATCTTATCAGATAGCTTATATTGGTAGTACTCGATTGGTCACTAAGAAGTGACCATTGCCATGTGCCTCGTTCTTACTGAATTCTAGCAGTCAGATTTGCAATGCGGCCACTAAGGTAGGTCATTTGTCATCGTGGTTTCCTCTAACCTGCTTGCTTGCATAAGGTTCTTGGGCACTGTAATGGTGACTGACAGAGTTCAGTCGACATAAAAACTAAAGATCGGACACAATATTATTTATCACTAGTGACCAATCACTGTATGTGTTACGATCCGGTAAAACTTAAATCTTGAGCATGAATAGTTCTATGATAACATCTCTACCCAGTGTTACAAATATTGGAAAATGGTGATTCAAATATTCGAAGGATCATCAATATCTCCAAGGCTGCATACATGCCTTGCTGATGTGTGTCACTAAGCACGAAACTTATATATCTAAGGCTTCCTGTTAATTGTCTCGAAACACATAGAATCAGTTTATTATACTTTTCTTAGCAATAAACATCTATTGAATAATACTCTATAACGGTTCTTCCATAGAGTGTGAAACTAACTTTAAAAGTTTAATAAACCAGGTTATATTGAACTCAAATTTCAGTGGCACTCACCAAGCTGAATTCTCTACATATCCGACTTTATATTGTGTAAAATGCAGTAAAAGCAAAACACAACAAAAAGCTTTAAATATTTATTGTTTCCGTTTGTAAACAAATCAGTCACTGAGTGGTGGTTGCCAAGCAATGCAGTTTTTCAGTCTTGAGTTTACTTTTTGAAATCTCTTCATTATGCAGACAATGTGTTCACTAAGTATAGAGAGACAATTTCCTTGTATTCTGTAGGCCACCTTTATTTTGGCTGTTGAATATCAGGAGACGACAATTGACAAGAAGGTTTGCTTAACCTGGGTCTTCTGACTTTCAACAGTCATCACTATATAGTGTGTTTATACAATCATCTTTTTTCCCGACCATACAGTCTTAATGACATGTCTCCTTTCAATCAGAAATATATTGATTTGTTTTGTTTTATATTTTTTGAAGGGAATTTTTCCACTAAAAGCTATGATAAGAATCATACGTAGAGTTGATGAGACATGTTTGCTTTCATTCATTGGTTTTTTTTATTCCTAATGAGTAATAATAATAGTCGCTACAATCCACATAAGTATGTTGAAGCGACAATCTATACGATTTCATTTGAAATCACGCATTTCCCTAAAATACTGTAGTTTAATCAAGCTGTTAATGTTAATTCCTTACACAACATTAAGTTTTAAACGCAATTAAACAACACATCATCATTCTGTATGTTGCAATGTAAATCAATAATATTCACGCACATATACGTATATATATACAAACACAAATTATAACTCAAAAGACAAATGAAATACAATAACTCAAATTTGTTTTTAATGCATAGATAAATCACTTAAACAGTCCACAAAACACTCATCTTGAGATGTGTATGGCTCTTTTTGTCTGGCGAAAACAAAATTACATCATTTTTTTGATTGAGTTTTTTCTTAACAATATACTCGATATTGATGGAATATGCGTATAAGAAATAAATTCTTTAATCTGTGTTAGATTTCTTCAACGTTCGATAACCTCTAGATTCTCTTAGCGTTGCATTAAACAACTCTATATTATCTTTTTAAATTTGCAATTAATAGTGTTCTCTGAGCTGGTTGGTTTAGTTGCGGAGCTTTCGTCATCCTTCTGGACAACATCTTCAGTGCAGAATTTAGGATAAAGTGAAATGATTTAAATTTTTCTTCATGAGTGATATAATTACGTCTCCCAGTAACCATTCTTATATATGTATTGACCGTTTTCTATTGACTTGGATTTTAAACTTTCTGGTCATCTGATTTACACTTTTTATTAGTTGGTATATTTCGTCTATATTAACATGTTTGTTAATTGCATTTTCGTTTGAGTACCAGGCTTCTAGGAATTCCCTGACTGCACTTTTGGTGTTACCTCTGTATAATTTATGGGTACATTCTAAATCATTTCTCTTGATTATTACAAATGTATCATCACCGTAATGTACCCAATAACTCACAAAAGAAACTGTGTGCAAACATTGTTTAGAAGAGTATAAACACATTGTAGCACTCCAGAGTTGAAAAGAATGAAAGAAAAATACCTACAAACGGTCTTCAAGAGGAATGGTTATCCACAAAATTTCATCAAAAAGTGTTTAAAGTCGAATCAAAACACCAACAAAGAACCATCATCAAAGACCAAAAAGAAATTCATCCTACCATACATCAGAAATATCTCTGAAATAACAGCTAGAATACTGAAACCGTTTGATATAGATGTAGCACACAAACCAGTCAAATCGCTTAATTCGATTTTGTGCAAACCGAAAGATCTAACAGAAAAAGGGGATAAAATTAATACCATTTACAAAATAAATTGTATGAACTGTAACAGACATTACATCGGCCAAAGTGGGCGTCCCTTTCGAATAAGAATCCAGAAACACAAATCAGCCGTGAAAAGCCATGATATAAATTCTTTAGTATCAATGCATACAGACAATTATGGACATCAATTTGATTGGGATAATGTAAAAATCTTATACAGAGGTAACACCAAAAGTGCAGTCAGGGAATTCCTAGAAGCCTGGTACTCAAACGAAAATGCAATTAACAAACATGTTAATATAGACGAAATATACCAACTAATAAAAAGTGTAAATCAGATGACCAGAAAGTTTAAAATCCAAGTCAATAGAAAACGGTCAATACATATATAAGGATGGTTACCGGGAGACGCAATTATATCGCTCATGAAGAAATTTAAATCATTTCACTTTATCCTAAATTCTGCACTGAAGATGTTGTCCAGAAGGATGACGAAAGCTCCGCAACTAAACCAACCAGCTCAGAGAACACTAATAATTGCAAATCATCCACCTGAGTTACAAATCTTCTCTATCATCTTTTTAAATGCTAATATTTTCTATTCAACGTCTGTTTATATGTGAATAAGGCCAGTATGAACCCCTTACTTCTTGATTCTTCATGTGCCTTTGCATATTTTTTCGGAGGGTGAGAAGTAACTTCTGTTAAATACATAGTCTGTACGAAATTTTTGGTGATCATGAGATGCTGAACTCACTGTTTCGCTTATTATGAGTTATTCAGCCCATAGATCATGAGGCAGTTATCGAGTGATAACCAATGCATTTGTCTGGTCCTGAAAGACTTCACTGACTCTTTCATCACCTTTAGTATTCCTTCATAAACATCTAGTCAATATACTTGTTCACTATTTCACTGAACCGAAGTACTAATCGACTGTTTCTCTACTCCTGATCAACAATTAAAGTGTAATATATGAAGCCGGGAAAAGTTTTACGAATGAAGTTTGTCTGATGCTATCACAAATAATGTTATTTTTTTATCCAGTATCAGAGAATCTGGTCGTGTATATTATCAGTAAGAGACTGTAATCATACTACTGATAAAAATTTCTTCTGCCATTATTTTGTCTTTTATTGCAGGGAACCTTATCAAGTGATAAAAATGAATTGTTATTTTCTCAGTTCAACTGTAACTATAATAATGAACCAGAATTATATCGTAAAGGTACTGTACTATTCAGAAATAAGGTAAGATTATGTACTGGTCGTTGAATATAGATATTTCTTTTTCTTCTAACGTTTCATTATAGTTTATCTACAGTTATATTTCACTGGAGCGTCATAGTACTTACCAACCGGAAACACGAATTAAAGACCCCAATAGCCTAGTTATAGAGTTAATACTATTAAAAAAGAGGTTTAACGAAATATTTGACTCAATTCCCACTTAAATCAATAAAGGTCAGATAAAGTACGTTTTGGTGTTCATTTGATCGGTGACAGTTAGCGGTAGCATCCAGGAAAATGAATACTGAATTCGACTCAGTGAGAACATCAACACTCACTGAGATGCTGGTACATACATCTGATGAATCCCAAGTAGAAAAAAACGTGAGTTCTAGATCTTATTGCCAGGTTCTACTAATCCAATAAGCATCACTAAAGCATCCTACTAATAGCCGATATACCAAAGAAGACTGAGTATTCTTACCTGGTCAAATCAGGACTTATCCCTTTCTTAAATTGGCGTCACCTTTATCCGGTGATTATTAGAGCGTTTGGAAAAGTAGGCCAAATTATGCCATCATGATTCCATGAAAATTCAATGATATACGTTTAACTTTAGAAATTACTGTCTACTCAAATCCATTAAATTGCGCAGATAAAAATGCAGCAAATGTAATGCAGTTCAAGTACATAATGCCGCCGATAATATGCACGCTAGAAAAAGTGTTTTAATGCAAAATTTCATTTAAAAAACATAAAAAAATATAACTTATCACTAGATCACCATGGCAACCGACTACGATGCAGTAAATGCACTAGGAAATCAAAGTGAAATTCAAAAATTGTACTAATTAAAGAAGAAGGGTTAAGTTATCACTAATAAACAGATTAAGTCATATATATATTAAAAAACTTTGATATCGTACACTCTCAGACTTGTCATTCCGAAGACTGTTTCACACATTATTTTCCTTTGTCGATATGCTACATAAAACGATTTCGTCAAAAAATTATTTTCTATGCTACTTAATATTCTGTGCATAAGATAAAAGGTATAAGAAAAGATGGAGTTCACCATTTTTCCTCTCTGTCTCTCCCTCTCTTCACACCATTCGTCGCCATTCATTCAATCATTTTACATTTCTGTTTACATTTTTGCATGTTGAAAGGTCACTGACAAGTATTTCTTTTTCTAGTCAGATGCATTTGTGTTAGCTGTGACAAATGTGAAATGAAGATGAGGATAAAATGTAAAAATATTCATTCTATTGTAATTTGCTTATAACAAATGAACGATCCTAATCGGATGTGGATATAGTGTTTAAAAAGAATTTAAAATGTGTGCCAAATACGAATACCATCTGAAATTATGATCAGTTATTTTAAGATAGGTTTACATCAGTAATCAATGTCAGCATGTGTTGCGTGTGTATTTATGTCCAATGAGTATTTCTGTAGTCAAATACGGTATAATAAGTGATGTTATATTTCTTCAAGTACCTTAAAAAATAGTCATAGTCTTCGTACAGTCGGTAGACAGGGATAAAAATGAATCTTGTGAATCGATACAACTATCTAATTGTGTTTAATAAATTGGACATCCTATTACATAATAATGAAGCTTTGTTTCCATTGGAATACGCTTTCTATTATGACTAACATTTGACCGTTCGAAATACCAGTGTGAAATATTCCTCTGTGGGTACTCCAGTAAGCGGGATTTAGCTAGAAGGTGAAGAGCGGATTGGAAAAGTTTCTTTCATCTTTTTGCTTCTTTCACGTTCCCCAGTGGAACATAGGGCTTCAAGCTAGTGACTTGAAGTTTCTGTAGCCCTGTTTAATTTTACAGGATGGGGTTGCTAGCCTCATGCCCAACCTTTCCTCTATACCAGCATTATTTCTGGCTTAGCGAGGTAAAGGAGTGCGTCGGTGGCCGGGAATCGAACCCCGAACCATGTGCATGATCGGTGAGCGTCCTAACCGCTATGCCACCGACGCATCTTAATCATATGAAATATAGGCACGGCTCAGTCGTTTATGTATAATAAAGGAGAGATCGTAGTAGGTACTTGAAATATAATATTAATTTATGCTACAATAACCGATGAGGAATCATATATATATATATATATATATATATATATATATATAATAGGACACACGGGTTACAACCCACGTTTAAAATTTATTGGGAACGAATGCAGATGAAACGGAAAGGTAAGTTGTTGCAGTATTCGAATCATCAGTGTATTACCGACATGGCTATACACAGACTAAGCTGTGCAGCTCAGTGGAAAACAGTCTTATCAACGGTTTGTTCCAGCTATCATTCATACAGGTAGCAATCAAGTCTTCTTATCCGGGTCAGTAGCCGAAATCTTGTACCTCGTGAAATTCGTATTCTTCAGGGATGTAACTCTTCCTTTCAGTTGTAACCGTAACTCATTACATTAATACCAACCTACCAACTTGGATTCATTTCTGACAATCTTAAGCTAAATTATATTTTATGATAATAAAGGAGCGAATTTTCTTTCTCACCACTGTTTTACTGAATGTTTTAGCTAGTCAGTAAAAAAGAGTCTGATAGTAAAGTCACATTTAATGACGTTTAAGTTGTTTAAAGGAGACGTAGTAAACTGAATTACTGCCATCAAAACTTAGAAAAATGATGACTAAAAGCTTTCTTTGTAGCAACAGTGCGTTTAAAATTTGCCGCTCGTTGTATATTTCCAACGCAGGTGAAGAATAAGCTACTGAGTCTGGCCACTTTAATGTGCATTTATAAATTTACCTGTTCATGCGGAGACAGTTACATAGGTACAGCGACTTGGCAAGCCCACCCAACATGGTTAGGTAGAGGAGTCGTGAAGCCAATCAGAAGTTTCTTACTGGCACAACTAGTAGGTACAGGGCACAAGATTGGCAAAAATTCAGCTTTTACACTTCTATACAAGGTGCCACCTCAACTTCCTAGGTTCCTACGTCTTCGGCTGCTAAGCACAGCTGAAGCAGTTGCCATAAAGATTTTTCAAGGGAATCTCTGTGTTCACAAAATATTTGTTCAATCCCTCTCCCACCCTGAGACTTCGCCCCCAGCCTTAAATAGTTATCCCTCTCGGTGTCACTGGATTACTGTTTATCATTTTATTTCAATTGTGATGCTAACTGTTTTATCAATATCATGCTGTGCTGTAGTTGTACATTTTATTCTCCGTTTTCCCAATTTATCGTTATTATTATTATATTATCTAATCACTATGTGACAATAGTTATTTTTTCCCCTTACCCCTACAAATATGTGCATTCTATCTATACGCTCACCGTTGCTTAGATTATATAAATACTTGATTGAATTTACCTTGTTATTCTTATAATGATCACCCCGATCGTTATCCATTAATTCAAATGCCTATGACTAATATTGCATTATGTAAATGTTAAGTCTGTTGAGAATTTTTTACAGAAAACATGTATTTGCTTAAATCGTGCTCTGTATGACAAATTATCTGCATTAAACGTGTCAACTGAAAATCGTGATGGATTAAATCACGTGGAGAATTAAAAACTTTCTAAATCACACTATTAGTTGTATTAAACAGTGTGGATTAATTAAGAGAAGTCAGCATTCAAAAGGTGAAGCTATTTAGCCTGCGGTCAACATTAAATGATGGTCTCTTTATACTATGAATAAGATTATAAGTGTTGCCGAACAGTTATATACTTTTCATAACACCTGATAGTTTTACTTTGAATTTTTTTAAAATTTTCGCCTCTAAATGGATATCTTTTGTTTTTCATCTTAAATGAATAATCAAGAGAAATAACCTTCAATGTATTTTTACTTTTTTCTTTAGTTAATAAGCTTGTGGGAAGTTGATAAATTCTAAATTTAATTTCACTGCTAACCGATATCAGTTTGAAAACTGAGGATACCTGTCACATCCTAGTTTGCGGCTTTTAATTAATGAGCATCTACGACATCATGATTGGTAGGAGGTGAAAGTGTCACGTTGTGAGAAAGCACGAGTTCTATCTGTTGATACTTGACTGAATTGCTGTCAGACTGCTCCTGATTTTGATTGGCGATTTAACATCACAGACACATTTTCATCAATGAATATTATTTATTCTGTTGTTTGACTTACTGAATTCTATAGGCCACAATTTCCTACTAGAATCACCACAAATTCACTTCGAAGCTAACCGGTTCTCAGTTGATGTCTATGTGAAAAGTTAAGGTAGATTTTGCCGACAAAAGTCTGAAAACACTGATGCACTGCTGAAGCTTCCTGAGCTGGAATCAGAGAGGTGTATAATATTTCTTTGATCTCCTATGATTTTCTAATTGAAATCAATTTGTGATTAAATTCACTTTGATAATATTTTCTCCCTTCTTATAATTTTTAGGAAGGAAAACATTGTACCATTGAAAAAGCAAACATAGACATAATAAAAGATGAATTCTGGGATAAACATCCTCATATTTTAGAATCTGATTGATGCTGCTGCTGATGATGATGTTACTCCCCGGGACAGTATTCAGCTTACCGATAATCATCTGCGTGTATCGATATATTTTCCTATATTTTTGTACATTTCTTCGCATTTATAAATGAGCAATACAATCAACTGTACTCTGGTCATAGTCATTTTTCTTCGTGAAAATATCAATAGTCCAGCAATATGGAGAGTGTTGGATGCCGATAACTATTCCTGTTTTTCAGAATCTGTGGAAGGATGAGTATATAATCAATACACTCTCTCCCTGGTTTAAAGCCTGTCTAGTTTTCTCGGGTCTATTTCTCGTTAGTATCACTTAGTCTGTGAATGATTATTGAACCTAGAACATTAGATACTATATTAGACAGGCTAATCTCCCTATGATTATCACAGGAGTACGTGTCTCCGTTTATATCACCTAGGATAGTCAGTGAGTTACTTACACCAGTCTAACGGAACTATCTCTGATTACCCGACATTAACTAATAGCTTAGTCAACCCAGACACAGTTCGCCGTCCCAAAACACGTCTGGAATCTTTCCATCGGGTGAAAATGCTTCGCCTCGTTTCAAACTAGAGATAATCTTTGTAACCTAAGTTAGAGATGGAGGGCCGATGTCTACATCCTATTCAAGTAGGTGTTGGATGATGGGCGAGTTGAGCGTGACTGTAGACCAGTTAAATCGCTCCTCAAAATGATCCTTTCACCGTCACAATCGTCTATCCTATCTACCGTTTTTCTCGGAGATTGTCTAAATAGAATCCTAGTGTCGCTTATCACTGATTCCATTTTCATCACTTGTCGCTCAAGAATGCTCACTGTCGTTGCGGAGACCTTTGATCAGCTTCTGTTTGGGCAGATTTTAATCCTGCTGCTGCTATTGTTCACCGTCATCTCACCGATTTCCATGGGTTGTGCAGCGTTAACTAGTTGTAATTGTTGAGAAATGTGGTCTGAAACATTCTCGATGAACTGGGACGCCAATAGCTGCGACTCCGACTCTTCATTCAATGTGGGGAGTGCACGACTTAATAGATTCGTCAGCTTGACCATCAACACTACCGGGTCCCCGCTTCGCGGCACAGAACTGCTATGTTTTGATTTGTAACAAAACCCGTTCTGGTTACAGCATTTCATCATGAGCTGACATCAGTCAGAGAACCATTGGAAAACCTGGGAGTACTGGACAGTTGTTTCGTCCAGAGTATTGCTGAAGGGTCCCAAACTAGGACGAAACAGCTGTCCAGTACTCCCAGGTTTTCCAATGGTTCTCCAACTGATATAAGCTCATGATGAAATCCTGTAACCAAATCCCTACAAACCAATACTTTGGAGTTATCCAAAGTAGATCCACTGATTATTTCTAACGTAAAGAAAAATTAAATTTTCCAGGCACACTTAGATAACAGTAATTACTTTTTTTATAGTGCTTATGACAATTTGACATAATTTTCAAAAAAAAGCAAACGGATCATTTCAAGCCAAAGCTTAAATACACCACAAACAAACGTAAAGGACTTACGGTGAAACAACAAATGTGCATATAACATGATACCACAGGTATTCAACACAACGTAGGTGGTATATCACAGTCTAATAGATGAATATTATTAGTGTTTACCACCAGGGTGAACTTTATTATTCACATGTTGTCAGTCACATATCTACTTCGTAATGTTGATAACATTATTCAAGTTTAAACAAAATCACTAGATATCTTAACAACAACAATAGGCCAAAGTAAGCTAAATGGATGTGGAATAAAGTGTTAAAAAATGAAGTACAATTACTCTAGAAAAACAACTTTATTTACAAGGTTTAGTTTACAATATAAACATTTTTTTAATGTGATAAAGTTGTACCTAGTTTTTAGTAATAGTAATATACAAATAATGTTTTAGAATGGTTAAAGTGACTTAAAATTAATAAACAGAAATGCTCTCATCAGTTTTTTTCTGGTTATAACAACAAAACATCTGAGTTTATTTATAGATTTCCTTTCAACTCTCGACTTCGTAGTCTATGCAGCTCACGATGTACCATTTCTCGTGTTGAACCCCATTTTCTGCCTTCCGGTGGACAATTTGCAACTGGAGTCCATACTCCTTTCACTTGATTTGGATGATAAAGCTTTGGAGGATCACCTTCTCTTAAACGGATATATAAATTTGTGTAGTGAAAATTAATTTTATGCACTGTAGACCTAATACCCTTGTGTAAACGAGGAACCATTCGACCACGTAAAGCATAAAGTGACTCTAAAGACAAACAAAAAATTTAATAATAAAAACAATGAGCCATTTGATGAATACATAATGAACGCATTATAATGAAATAATAATAATTTTGTACGGAGTGTACAACTCTGCAGTCTATTTGTCTATGATTTTTAAATACATGTATAAAAAATGTTGTCAAATAAACAGCGGTACCAAAAGTTGTGTTCATCCTGAATACTTCCGGAAAACAGCAATTAAACAGTAAATTAACGTAATTCATTTTACCGAGAGTAATGCTACACAATTTGATGATACCTTAGGCATTGTTGATAGCGCTCAGTGCCTTGAAATTAACCAGCCTGTAATAGGCCGTTATGTAACATAAATTAAAATGTGAATTATGATAACCACTTTGTAGCATATTATAATTACATCTTTGTTCATCAATACTTATGATGGAACACTATTGCTGGATTCAACAAGAAATGAGGAAATTCCAACCCGTCACCCATAGGTTATATCTCAGACGTTATACTGGTTCCATATTTTGACTAGGCTTTAGTCTTCATAGCTCAATTACTAAAGTACCAGGGGCTAGTAATCGGGACCACGCATGTGATCCGAGATTCGACTCCCGGTTGACGCACTCCTGAATTTCGCTAAGCTGATGGTACGGCTAGCAACCACACCTCGTAAAAATAAACCTACTGAAACCGAGACTTCAAATGCCTATGTTTCATGAGGAACGTAAAGGAATAAAATCAAAATAACCGGTAATCGGGTAGTTGCTGATTCAAATGGCATAATAGCTATTGCAGCTGACTTCACTATTCACAGAATGTGTTTTCATCCTCGAAATTTTGTTTCTTGTTCATTACTTCTGTATAGCACTTTGATTTTTTTGTATTGATCGAAATATTTAAATTGATCCAATTGATTTTGTGCATAACGCTTCGTTTGCTTAAACAAAAGCCTAGATTTATCTATTTTTGTGTGTTTTCTACACTTTTGTAAATTTTCTTATTACGTAACAATAACAATAAATCAATTCTGACAATGATCAGCAGTTTATTTTTCAATTCTTTATATACAATTTTTATTCAGGCTTTTGTAAACTACGTTATATAGCTTTAACGCAACAAGTCATTCACATGTTCATCGAAAATTTTTTGTATTTTCTAGCTTTTGTAGCTGACAAGAAAGTCAATGAGAGAATAAATTGATAATATTTTGAAAGACATTGCGTTGGTCTTGTTTATGTTTATCAAAATGTCAAAAACAAACAATAAAGTGGATACTGTTAACAGTTACTGTGACGTGTGCTACTAACAAGATTTGTCAGTAGTATATACACAGACGTTCAGCAACACAAAAATATCAAATAACAAAGTGATAAACTTGACGTCAAAGAGAACACATAAATCAGTCTTGCTGTAAAGCATGAGAGACACGAAACGAAGATAAAGAAACACAATACGAAGTGCAGAAATAGCACAACACAGAAAGTCTGTGCAAATGACGATTTTCAGTTAAAGTGTACATAATTTTACTATATAGAGATATTACCTTCCTAGCAAACATTCCGTTTCCAAGTCTCTTGTCTCCTACTATTACACTACGTGAATCTTTGTGCATACACTGAGAAACTAACCAACCATAACTTTTGCTATAATATGAAAGAACTGATAAGAGTAATATATGGTTTTAAAATGGTGATTATAACATGATACATTTTAATAGTAACCATTTTGAGGACACCCTTAGTTGACTGAAAAAATATCCATAAAAAAAATGATCAATATAATCATACTGTGTGTGACCTGACTGAGAATACCTGCAAATGAATGATACTGATATTCTGTAGTAATAATGCTTTATTTATTACTGATACTCTTATTATTATTTCCCTTAACTCCTAGAGGAACATAGGGCTTCAGCCGCGTGTCTCCATTGCGTTCGGTTTTCTGCCAACTTTTTTACTCCGCTCCAAGTCCGCCCACATGCTCTCATCTCCTCTTCACATGACCTCCTCCAAGTCACCCTTGCACTGACGACCAACTCGTCGCTTCCCTTTCGGGTTCCACTCGAGCGATGGCTTGTCTAGTGGTGTCACTTGATGGTTTCCTCAGCGTATCCATCAGCCAATCCATCTCCATTTCTTCCTGCCTAGTTGTTTCCCAATCGGTCCCTGGTTGGTTCGCTCATCACCAAAGATCCCTGTTTCTGATCTTTTCTGGCCGACCATCTGATCTCGAGCATTGAGCGAAGACAACTGTTAATGAAGGTCTGTATTTTGTTTGAGATGCTCTTCATGACGCGCAGTGCAAGTCTCTGATCCGTATAGTAGCGCTGACTTCACATTGGAGTTGAAAATCCGGATCTTATTTTCATTCTCATGGTGAGTGCTGCTGACCTCCACACAGACTTGGGAGTAATGAAAGCTTGTCTTGCTTTCCCAATCCTCGCTTTGATATCTACGTCATTTCCCTCCGCCTGTAGTTGAGACGATGCTTCCAGGGTAAGTAAAGGAGGTTGTTTCTTTCAGGTTCCTCCCACTTATGCTGACTGATTGTTGTCCGTTGCTGTTGGTGTTGGCCAGGAATCTTCATCACCTCTGTTTTCTCTATGTTCACCTGAAGTCCTATCTTTGATGCTTCTTCTGCCAACTTAATGATACTTTTATAGGACGAATCACATATGCCAGTTTACGCCGTCTTTGGCGTAGATGTGATATCCGGCTATCGACCGAAGGGCGGGTGTACTGCTTATCAGTCCGCTCCATCCTCCTTTATGGCTGTGAAACCTGGCCATTTGAGAGTGGAAGACATGAAAAGCCTAGCTAGCTGTCTTTGATCATAGGTGCCTGAGCTCTATCTCCCGTGTAAAGTGGCATAATTAGGTGAGTAATATTGAGGTTGGGCAAAGGTCGAGTGCTAGGTAAGGAGGAGGGGAAATCAATCGACGAGGCTGTGAAGCTACATCGACTGAAATGGTTAGGACATGTGTTACGCATACCTGCCTAGTCATCGCCTTCCTCGACGACAGGTGATGTTAGCTGACATAGGGTCAGCCTGGAAAAGAGCTAGCGGTGGTCAAACCAAAACATGGCACCAGTCAATGAATTCCCTGACAGTTAGTTTAAGCCACGTAGGAAGGTGTAGACTTCCTGACTGGTTGGGGTCCTCGGGACGGTAAAAACCAATGGCTGGAGACAAATGGTGATATGGCTCGAAATCGTTCTCAATGGCTGGCGCAGATGCATCCACTCCCTGTGACTTATGATTTTCAATGAAACTATATTGTTCTTCGTTTTTACTATTCCTTTGCCTCACACTTCTATTTACTGTCACTATTATGCATTTCTTCTGTTGCTCTGTGTGGTACATGGAGTGTGGCGACTCGAACTGTCGCATATCGGTGCAAAGTTCTATGTCGAAAACAGACAAGACAGGACGAATCAACATCCTACTAATTGGCTACGTAGTAAGGACTGATGTAGCTAATAAGTTTTAGGCGTCGACAGAGGTTTACTGGCAAAGTTTTCAACGTAATTACTAAGTTGAATGATATTGTGTATCAATCAACTGTGATTTGCTACTTAACATTTTTGAACTGATAGATACAAATTCCCTATCGGTACTTGTTAATAAAAAGAATCTCCAAACTTTACCCATTCCTGCAGGCTATCATATAGTCGCGAAAAAAAGAGTATGTCATAACGCCAACGACCTTCAAAATTTAAAAGGAATAAAAACAGAATGTTACTAAGATGTGAGGATTATGAATTATAAGTCTTCATCCGATACCGACTGAAAACTAGAAATTGACACGAAACTGTCCCCAAAAATGTGGAATACTACGAGAAAAACACTTTTTCATTCGAAAACACACACAGCTGTTAAATATGCACAAGTTATTTAACAATGGAAACACAGTGTCAAATAAATGTGCAGTAATAATAATAAATTTTACTGGATAATAATAATTACCTATCCAAATTTTTGTACAGAACTCAAAGTCATGTTCTTTCACTGCTAGTTCTATTGCCTCTTCTAACACCTGTAGTCAAACAGAAACAGACATTTCAGTGAAGAATTCAGTTAATAATAATAATAATAATTTTGAGCGAGGTTACACAGTATTGAGTACGTTAGACAAAGTATTTGCTTTTATTTACAGAAAGTACTAATAATAATAGTAATAATAGGAACAGCATTTTTTCTGAAACAATATTTATATTGTAACAACAGAAGACAAGGGCCAGGCAACAGATGGTTATATTACGGAAATCACTATATATATATATTTCGTGTACATTATTATAGCTAATTCAAGCAGACAAACACCGTCTTCTGATTGGTTGTTTCTGGTTTCTCGGAAAGTTAAACCATATATTTGCGAATCGTATTTGCCCACGTTAAGTCTGCTGTGATTGGTTGTTGAATCAGCCTTGTTCATCTTTTCTTACGGCCAATATTAGTGACCTAGACATTGACGTAAATTAATGTCTACCAATTGGCTAGCAGCCTGCTCTCACCACAATATAATGTACAGAATTTTCAGCGGAGCTAATTGCATGTCATCTTCTCTTGGTTACTGGTCTTCAAATAAAAGAATAATCGGCAGTAGATAGTGTGACACAGTTCTATCTGACCTAAAACGCAAACCAATCTCTTATGGGATCTCTTCTTTTTCTCCTTCGAGAAATCCACGACGTTTAGTTGAATGTCAATGATAAAAAGTTCAGGATTACGTTTTGTGGACACCATTCAAGAACGGTCACTTAATGCACCGAGATAAGGTACCATAGAGTATAATGCTTTTGCACATGTTTAGTAGGAACTTGAGAAACTGCGGGTTGTAAATGTTTTTAATATTCGCCAGAGTAAACAACACTTTTAGAGGTGATATTTTACTAAATCTGAATAATGAAAATTATATGCAATATATTGATGGTAGCCTAAGTTTTAGCATGCCACCATTTACACATGAAAAAGCTACTATAAACACTTAAAAACACAGAAGTACTAAACTCATTCAATACAAATATATTGATTTCAACAAGGTAACAATAAAAGTAATTGTTTCAATAGATAACTACTTATTAAATAAGAGTAGGAAATCTCATACAGATAGAATTATTCGGGTCAATCGCTAAAGAATTAATTTGTGAAGTTAAGTAAAGTCCAATTAATTTTGAACAAGTATATTCAATAAACTTTATTTTCATTAGGAACAGAAAATATTACAATCCAATACATCAAAACAGTACTTATGAGACAAAGAAATTGTGAAACAACATCTAACAGTCGTTAATTTTTTTTTTGATTTACAGCTTGATTCCACACTATATTTTTGGTACAAGTATGGAATTTTCAGCATGGATATCGGTAGCCCAAATTTTGCAGGCCAACCATAGATATCAGGTGTGCGCCGGCGTGGGCTCGAACCCCGGACCATGTGCATGGTCGGCGAGAGTCCTAACCACTGTGCCACCGACGCACATATTCATATGGAGGATTTTTGAGGCAATCCAAATGTTTGGTCTGTATGTAGACTGTATATTACATCTAGAGCACTTAACAATTAGCAAACCTTTACTAATATACGTTAATGTTTAAAGTACTGTTGAGTAGTTCAAATTTCACTTGATTAGCAACAGTTCCAGGCAATACAATCTATTCTTTGATTTTAGAATTCAAAGATTCTATAATGGAATGATAAATACACCGCTTAACTACCTAACTACAATAGATGAAACTGTCACACTTTCATTTATGACTGACGCTCACGGATAATTTTTTTTCAATTTAGCCACACTTCCAATCAATCTTTAACACCTAAAATAGGAATAATCAACACAAAAGTCAGTTACCAGACTACGATGGCTCAATCACACTCAACACCTGAAATACAGGCACTGGATTGAAAAGTGTATGGGTCTTTACAAGCCTGGTGAGTGAAACTAAGCGGTATATATCCCACTAGTTACCATAGAGAAAAAATTGTCATTATTTAGTCTTCGGAATGATATAAAAAGTAAACGCTATTCTAGAACATACTTCAGAAATAAATATGAATTGTTTTATCGCGTGCAACTACATATTGTCATTTGATTCCTCTATGAAGGAACTTATTTGTAGTGATAAAAGTCATTTACAAATAAAGTGAAATTTACGACTGTAATATTACTTCTCCCCTCTTTAATATGGGGAATTTTTCTTTTAAAAAAAGAAATATATGGCGATAGAAACCGTTAAATAATGTTAAATTCCAATTCGCTAAAGTCTCTCTTCTTAGTTGCCGCTCTAAGAAATATCCTTAAACTTACCTCTTCAAGAATTCTAGCCCCTTTTTCTGGACGAAATCCCAACTGAGCGAAAGCATCATCTACTGATCGTCCACGAATCTAAAATGCAAAAATAAGTGAATAAATTGGTCTTATAAAACGAAAAGCTCTTATCAATACTACAAGAAAATTTAACGATTTAATTAAGTCAGACTCTAGCTACCTCTAAGTACAGTTTATCTCACACAGATATTTATGACGCTTAGAAAAGTATGAACCACTTATTTCAAAATATTCAGACCAATATCCTTTTAACAGCTTCTGTTTTGAACTAAATATAAGAGGTGTCCAAATTGTGATTGGGAGGTAAAAATTCAGGTAATCAGAATTTTGTTCAAAAACTTCCACACTCTTATTTGCATCCTAATCCATCTCCAACTATGATTTCCATGTGACACTTAAATGCCGGATACAAGTAAGCCCGCAATCTTATACTGAAAACGGCTTCGTTGTCAAGAGTGTTCCCTTAAACCTTTGAAGGGAGATGTTTTTCATACACAGAAGCAACAATATTAAAAGTTGATTTCACTTAATAGAACTCAACGATATCTTACAAACTTTAGTGTTTGACTTCCAGCTATTGTATCACAGGTTCGACTTACACGCTACAGCTAATTCACTTTGGAGGGGGAGAGCTGGGTAGTAGCATCAACCTTCACAATAATAGCAATGACAGTTAACAAGTACCAAACTTGAGTCTAATGCTTTCTTCCTATATGCCACCACATATTTGATACCAACCAGTAACCCACACACAGTGTCACATAATTTTACTTGGTGGTTACCCGACCGAAAGCTGCTACCTTGACGTGGTGGTCGGGCTTGAACACCGCAATGACCTATTCAAGCTATACTGGCTGAGACTTATGTCTCTTGAGGTTCTACCATGCCAGAAAGGTTGTTTGGATAGCGGTTAAACAAAAAGCAGCTACCCAATCTAACATAATGATACATAGAAAACCACAAAATTTCATACCGGATCAGCCGTGGCCCGGATTAACAACGACCGCGCTTCCTGCTGCCGTGTTACAGGGCAGGAGTGAAAAATATGCTACTGAGAAACACAAAACAATAAAGAACAAACAAAAGCAGGCCGCGTGTGAACGGCCCCAAGCAGTAATCCCCTGGGCTCTGCGGTCACGCAACCAACTTCCACGTTGTGGGCAGCCGGGAAGTAACAATCGCAATCACAATCCGAAACGCACGCGAAACCTCTCTATTATTCACTCATCTTTGTCTTCATCCTCATCTCTATCATCTTGCCTTCCTTCCACTGATGCAACTCCTCGGCTTGATAGCTCTTCACTTCCTCTCCACTCTGCGTCCACTAAAAACGATGGAAGCCAAAAAACCACCACCGACAGCCTCCTAAAGCCACGCCACAAATTTCATATGGGAGCTTTTAATGTTAGGACACTTTGCCAAATAGGACAACTGATATATATCCATATAATATGTGTGTTTTCTTTGACAGTCTGTTCTTGGTGATATATATCCATATAATATGTGTGTTTGTTTGACAGTCTAATATATTTTGCTATGTATATATGGATCGATATTCCATCATAATTAGCCAATCATGTTAAGACTGTCTATTGATTTGTTCATTTTGAATATTCGTTCACACACTTGTTCGGACATTTATATTTTGCTCTCACACTCTTGTGTGACATATTGATTCTCCTTGTGTTTGGAAAATAGAAGTATCATCGCAAACCTAGTGGTCTTCTGATTTCCGTCCTTCTTGTGTCAGGACTATTAAATTCTCGACCAGTACATAACAATAATTTGGCGACGAGTACATAACAACAACAAGCATCACTAGCTAAGACCCTGGCATCCTGAGCCATCGATGTATGTTGTGTTTCAGAAACACGCATACAAGACCCAAGTGTGGTTATTCACCTAACCCCACCTGGCCAACAGGTTGAATCTGCAAAATTCACCTTGAGGGTGTCAGGAGATGCCACAGCTAGTTCACGAGGATTAGCTGGTGTAGGGATAGCTTTGAGTACTAGGGCAGAAAAGACATTGCTTGACTGGATCCCGGTAGATAGCCGAATGTGTGCTGTCCGTCTGAACGGATCAGTAAGAAGGAGAAAGGACTGCACTACTCGCCGATGCCTTTTCGTAATCTCCGCCTACGCCCCCACTGACTGCAGTTCAGATGAAACGAAGGATGAGTTCTACCAAAAGCTGTCTAGTTTGGTGAGAAAGGCTAAACGCTCAGACATAGTCGTTCTAGCTGGTGACTTTAATGCTCAAGTAGGGAAATTGTGTCAATCTGAGAAGGATGTCGGTGGCACCTATGGAGTTCCGTGCCAGCGAACCGACAACGGTGACCGTCTCCTACAGTTCTGTTCTGATAATCATTTGTTTCTTGTAAGCACTAACTTCAAACACAAGGAGAGACACTGTTTGACTTGGAGACCCCCTTCATCAAACCAACGCTGGACACAAATAGACCACATAGCAATAAGCTATCGTTGGCGTGGGTCGGTAGGAGATTGTCGCTCCTTCTGGAACACGTGTGTAGATACCGACCACGCACTGGTCCGCGCTCGTGTGTGCTTACGACTGAACGGACGTAGGAAACAGCTGGCGGTAAAACCATCACGTCCCCAGCTCGATCAGGAAACTAAATCCGTATTTGAGGAAGAACTAGCTAAACACATATCTGTGTTCGACAGCTGTGCTCACCCTGAAGAAGCTTGGAAGAATATCCAGGCAGCCATAGATACAGCTGTGAATAAGGTAAACCCAAAGGTGAGTAAAAACCACTGGATCTCCACCGCCTCATCCGAACTGATAGATGCTAGAAGACTTATTCCGGCGAGCTCCGAATTCAATGAGGAGCGAAAGCTGCACAAAGGAAACTTACGAAAAGTCTCCGCAAGGACCGTGAACAGTGGTGGGTGACAAAGGCGAAAGAGATGGAAAAGACTTCGAGGATAGGCAACACCAGGCAACTATTTAGACTCATCAGGGAAACGGGTGGGAGAAGACAAATCATTAGTGAGACAATCTCGGAGAAAAATGGCACTATAATTAGCTCCCAGGATAGACGACTGGATCGCTGGAAAGAGCATTATGAGGAGCAGTTTAATTGGCCCACAGCCACGCTCAACTTGCCGAACATCCAACACATCCCTGAATGGGATATAGACACAGGTCCTCCATCCCTAACTGAGGGACCTCAGTTAGGGACGGAGGACCTGTGTCTTACAAAATGTAAGATGCTGCTACAGGACTGGACCACGTCAACCCCTAACTTAGCGATAGGGAGGGAAGTGATAGAACATGTTGACAACTTCACCTACTTGGGAAGTTGTATTAGCACCAACGGACTGATTGGCGATGAAATCTCAGCACGGATCCGAAAAGCTCGAGCTGCTTTCGCTGACTTACACCATCTCTGGCGTAGGCGTGACATCCGGTTATCAACCAAGGGACGTGTGTACTGCTCATCAGTTCGCTCCGCCCTTCTCTATGGCTCTGAAACATGGCCAATACGCGTTGAAGACATGAAAAGGTTGACTGCTTTCGATCATAGATGTCTGCGATCTCTGTCTCACGTTAGGTGGTTTCACAAGGTAAGTAATGCTGACGTTAGGCGTAGAGTGTTGGGCAAAGAGGGAAAATCAATCGACGAGGCTATAAAGTTACATAGACTAAGATGGCTAGGTCACGTGCTGCGCATGCCTAACCACCGCCTCCCCCGACGGGCATTGCTAGCTGATATAGGTTCAGATTGGAAAAGAGCCAGTGGTGGCCAAACAAAAACATGGCCTCATCAATCCATGAAATCCTTGACAGTTAAACTGAGTCAGGTAGGGAGATGCAGACTCCCGGGTTGGGGCCCTCGGGACTCTAGGAATCAATGGCTGGAGACAATAGGTGACATGGCTCAAAATCGTTGTCAATGACCAGCGCAGATGTATTCAGTCTCTGTAATCTTTCATATTCCTTTCTACCATTACCCATTCTGTTTCACTCTTATACTTGTCAGACTGTATTGATTCTCTTCACTCATCTTCTTGTCTACCTCTGTGTGCTATTTGGAAGGTGGCAACTCGAACTGCTGCACTTCGGTGCCAAGTTCTATGTTGAATCCAGACAGACAGACCCTAACTGAGGTCACTAAAGCTGTCACCAATCTGAAACAAGGCAAAGCAGCGGGACCTGATGGAATGACTCCAGAGGTATTTAAGTACGGTGGAGACAGTTTACTGTCTGCATTAACTGAGGTTCTAAGTAGCGTCTGGGAATCAGAAGAAGTCCCATCGGGTTGGTGTAAGTCACTGATTATCCCCATATACAAGAAGGTAGACAAGTCATCCTGTGATAATCCCAGAGGGATTAGCTTGACTAATATAGTATTTGGTCCTAGGCTCAATAATAGTGCGTAGACTGAGTGGTGCTCGGGAGGCACAAACACGAGACAGCCAGGCAGGCTTTAGACCAGGAAGAGGGTGTATTGATCATATCTTCACCCTCCGACAGATTCTAGAACATAGTCATTCCTACCGGCGTCCAACAGTCATTATATTTCTTGACCTAAAGGCAGCATTCGACTCTGTCGACCGAGAAGTTCTCTGGAGATGCTTGGCTGTAAAGGGAATTCCAAGAAAATATATTGCACTGAATAAGGCACTCAACTTGTACTCATACAGCCAGGTGAGGGCTTACAGCGAGTTGTCATCTGAACTGATGACGACCAGTGGTGTCCGTCAAGGATGCCCATCATCCCTATTTCTGTTCAACTTCATCATAGATGTACTAATGGACTTAACCCTAGGTGACTTCAGCGACTCAGGGATTGACTTGCTACCAGGGAATAAACTCGTTGACTTAGAATATGCAGACGATATAGTCCTCCCATTTGGGTGAAGACGCTGAAAAAATGCAGAGTCTTCTAAACACCTTGAGCCGCAATCTACGAATGTTTCGCATGCGATTCGCTCCCGCCAAATGCAAGATGATGTTACAGGACTGGACTACACCGACTCCTAGATTAGAAATAGGAAGTGAAATGGTAGAGCACGTTGACCGCTTCACTTATTTGGGAAGTACCATCAGCCAACGCCAACGAGTTGATCTCTGACGAAATGTCAGCACGAATACAGGGGGCTCGTTTCGCATATGCCAGTTTACGCCGACTCTGGCGTAGACGAGATGTTCGACTATCGACCAAAGGGCGGATGTACTGCTCATCAGTCCGCTCCGTCCTCCTTCATGGCTAGCTGTGAGACCTGGCCACTGAGAGTGGAAGACATGAAAAGACTAGCTGTCTTTGATCATAGGTGCCTGCGCTCTATTTCCCGTGTAAAGTGGCATAATAAGATGAGCAACATTGGAGTTAGGCGTCGAGTGCTAGGTAAACAGGGGAAATCAATCGACGAAGTCGTGAAGTTACAAAGACTGAGATGGTTAGGACATGTGTTACGCATACCTGCCTGTTCATCGCCTTCCTCGACTGACTGGCAATGTTAGCGGATGTAGGGTCAGGCTGGAAGAAAGTTAGCGGAGGTCAAACAAAAACTTGGCCAAACCAGTCAATGAAATCCACAACAGTTAGCCTAAGCCACGTAGGAAGGTGTAGACTTCCTGACTGGTTGGGGTCCTCGGGACGGTAAAAACAAATGGTTGGAAACAATTGGTGACATAGCTCAAAATCGTCCTCAGTGGCGAAGATGCATCCACTCCTTGTGACTTATGATTTCCAATGAAATTGTTTTGTTCTTCGTTATTACTCCTCCTTTGTCTCACACATCTGCTCACTGTCTCTATTATGCTTTTCTTGTACTTTCTTCTCTTGCTTCGCGTGCTACATGGAGTGTGGCGACTTGAACTTCCGCACATTTGTGCAAAGTTCTATGTCGAAAACAGACAGACAGACAGACAGACTTGGTGGTTATATTACAAAAGCGATTGACAGACTTCAGCTTGAGAAATCAATATCCGTTGACGTTAAGAGATCGAATTTACACATTGTCATACTGCATCGGTGGTTAATGGTAGAGTGCCCGCCGGTCACGCGGGACGTTCGGGTTCGATTCTCCATCGATGCACTCAAGTTTCACCTAGTTTACCACCTGGTAGTAAAGCTAGAAAGGAGAGAATGTTGGACGACAGGCTAAAAAGCTCGCCTTGCAAAACAGGAAAACAACACCGTTACTGAAACTTTAAAGCTTAGGACCTGAATGGAAAAACTACTGTTGCGTAATGCAGAAACTAGAAATCTTTAAAATAGTACCAACTTCTGATGTTTAATATTAATGTTAAGAGGGTTATATGCAGTGACCGGTTAAAAGCAAAAGGTTCCAAGCATAAAATTTCAACATACCAACTGAGCCAACAACCAAAGTCGCTTTTGACTGTAAAAAATATCATCACGGCGGTGTGTAACTTCACCAGGACGAATAATATGCTCTGACAAGTCACTTGAAGTTGCAGAAGCTTTGGGCAGCGGTGGATAAACTACTTCGTTATATAAACTCCATAGGTCTTCATTGCGACCAGTGGCTTTAGATATTAGAGTAGTTCCATTCCAGTTTTTGATATTATTCTTTTTGCACACGCTAACAGTTGTAGACAGGAAACACTTTGGTGGACGAACATGTGCAGTTGACAGTAATTTTTGAATAGTTTTAGAAGCAATGGAAAACATGAAAACCTAAAAGTGTGCAGTGCATCAAATGTAAAACCAAATAATGATTGATATATCCCCTAAATGCTTCAAATATTAGTACTTACAATTTATAAGTCTAGAAATATCAGAATAAATTGGTAATTTTAAAATGACTCGTCTTCATAAGAACTTAATTTTAAAGTACAGCTAGGTAGAAATATTTAAAAAATGTACCCATTTGAAGTCGACACTTCAACAACTGCTATATGTCAAACGCATCATAGATTGATACCGTGGCTTGGTTTGACTACACAACTTTTTTCTAGGCTACCCTTGTATTCGCTGCCCATACATAGCACAAGATGAAAAATGTGTTTTCGTTGGTAAAACTATCCACTAACATGCCCTCCTTACTTAAAACCTCGTATCTGACTACATATTTGAACTAAAATTGCGATGTGAAGTTACGAAATTTGTTGGACTGCAAAATGAAGGGTAAAACTTCTTACACTACTCAAGGATAAGGTTAAAGACCAAAATTATTACATGAGGACTTATGATACTAACCAGTTGCAGTAGATGAAGGACAACTAGGACCCGCGACTCAATTACTACAAACCAAGAACTTAAGCCAGTGAGCAACATCCTTATTTCACACACAACACTATGTGTGACACAGTAAGTCATCTTGTACGGGCGAAAAACAGAGGTACTTGGTAGTAGAACTGCTAATTTGGCAATGCCGTACAGTGATAGCAAAATGTAAAAACCTAATATTGAAACGTTAGCTCACTTTTACGGCTTAGTCCATCGCTCGGCTACTCAAGACCCTTGCAAAGGTGGTCATCACCAATATGCTACATACAAATTCTTGTCAGCCACATGCACTACATTTTGACACTACCAACTACTTCATAAAAATATTAGAAAGCAGAACTACGACTAATTAGTAGAAACAACATAGTATATATCACGTCGGGCATGGTTATGGGATAAAGGACAGTAACCAATATCCAAAAAGCGTCAATAAACTATCCATGGCTCACAGACTTAGCGAGTCACCAGAAGCACTTCCAACAGGCTGAAGACTTTCAACAACAATGCCTTCGTTAGACCCAAAAGGCCAGAAAAAGTAGACAAGGAACTCTTAGAACGGCTCCACAAATATATGGAAGAAATTGAAGATGGAACGAAAGCACACTAAGACGACAGTTGAATGAAATCGCGCGCCAAGTATACCTTTGAGTTCAACCTGAGTGGGGGATGGCGAGTTGGGTGTCTGAGTGACAAGGAAGAGACTGCATGAGGAGATGGGAGATTATGGGCGACCTTAGAGCCAGCAAAGTACAAAATGGATATGTGCTACTGTAGCTCTACGTTCAAATCGCGGCCCAAGCGAATGATAATTAACAAGAAATGTGAGTCATCAAAACCTTCAGGCTAAAGGAACTACACTTCAGAAGTTTAAGACTTAAGTTTCTTTTAAAGAATACTGACTTATCCCGAATAATTTAAGTCATATCATTATAAGTAGTGGGTAACGTTTGATGAATAAAGCACCATTAATAGGTAGTAAATCTTAGATATAGTGTGAAGTGTCCAAAAAAGGGGTAAATAGACAGAATGGCAAGGTAATCTATGACTAGGTTCAGTGAATTCATAATATTATTGCATACTTGATAGCCACAGGAAGGTACCAGTAAACACGATAAACACACTTAAGTTAGATAAATCCAGTTAAACAAAATTCACTAGGTAAGTGAACAGCTACTTATTGCGAATGGCTTGCAGTGCCGGTGTATAACAGTCTTGCATTTATGTAAACGCTTCAGTTTGACAGTAAGAAAGTATATATATTTCGGCAAATTACACTAAAACTAAACATTTCTTGCTGCTTGAAAATTTTAGTACAATTCTCTAATAAACATGAGACATAGCAAACGAATAAAAACACAGAAGGAAGTAACCGTCAAATATCTTTAATAAAGTGACTATCCAACTAAAAATCGAAGTAAATGAGCAATTGTTGGAAGTCACTCCTCACCTACATACACAACTGTTTCAAACAGTGCTAAGGCATCTGGAAATTCCTTTAGGTACTGTGTCTAATCAACTATTTAGTTGCTGTTTTCTATGGCCAAACATAAACAATTTACATTGAGATAAAGCGGACATTAGTATGCCAATCAACGCAGTGTGAGCATTTAGTCAAGGTTTTCAGAAGGAACTGCAAAAGTGTACAAGTTACCTAAGAGTATATCCCTATTCTGTTATACAACAAAGTGGTGCATTGCATTTGATGTAAGTGCAATAATCAGGATAACAAAAAAGGGGAACCAAATCAGCAAATCGGCTGATTTGCTTTATAAAGTATTATGAACAAAGACTACTTCAGGGACATCGTATTACATATTTGACATCACAAATGCAACATATTTTCTGTCTCTCTGTTTTGCCGTTTTCGTATATAATGGATTAAGATAATTGACACTCGAGTCATATACTTATGTACATTTAAAGGTAAAACTTGATAACTTATACGCAACTAAGAACCATTTTAAAATTCGAAAAGAGGCGGATATGTTTGTCATGTGATATTAGGAACAGCAGGAATTTATTTATCACACCTAACACTAGAAAGCCTAGCACATAAAATATTACGTTGGGAAGTACCGTTGCTTTAATATTAACCGCTACAAAACAATTGAATAATCAGAGAGGTAGAACAATAAGTGACCCTTATTGCTTACAACGTTGTCTAATATTGTTACGATGTGAACTGAGACGTGAAGTGCCAACTAAAGATTCTTTGAGTGAATTTTTCACTCTGTCATATGCTCATTTCGGGAAAAATTAAAGATTAAATTTTCAACAGAAAGACTGAGAATAAAACGACGTGAACGCTGGCTTGTCTCTACTGCTCAAACGAAGTGACTCCAGAAATAAACTCACCTTTAGTCAAATACGCTCGTGGTATTCCAGTCTTTAAAAAAATCTCGGAGCTTAACATCAAGAAGGAGGGAGTCTGGCGCATGCTGATAAGCAGATATGGTAGTGGTCACAAATGTGAATCGTTCCAATCTGTAGGACAGCAAAATGCGTTTTTTTAACAGCTCGGGAATAAATCATTAGTCTGATTTCTTAAAAATGCTTTTGCTCCTACCATCTACAAGCCTGTTCAGCTTCTTGTCAGGATGCTACCCAGTAAGCCCCAAGGGATTTCCTGAGACATCTTACAGGTTAGCTTGTCCTACGGGTTCTAGTTTTCCAGAACTTCGAATTCACTTGTGACTGAAATATAACTTTTCCATCTCACGTTATTCTTTTAATTTACGCACTATTATACTCTCATTTATGTTAACTACTAAGGCGTTTGTTAAAGCTTCAACTTGATGTATGTTTATATGTTATTGCTTAAAGTCTGGTCCTGAACGGAATGAAATCCTGACCTTGAAGTCAATAAACCGACCTGAACAGTGAAGATCAGCATCCAACACCGACTAAGGAACGATGTGGGCTAGTAATTTCACAGAAATCTGCAATGCTACAGCTCAGTCCCATCCTGCCACGTTGCGAGGACCTTAAGACGGAGCCAGCAGTAAGTAAAAAGTAAATGGTAACAATAAAAGTTAAAATCTTCCGTTGGGTTTGATGGTAATTGGTTGCCTGCTGGTCTTTTGCCTAAGCCATTGTCGTATTTGCGAATTGTCCCGAAGGCTTTCGTCGGCTGGATCGCATGCCTCAGATCTTCTCGCCCCGTGCCCCTTACGCTTGAAAAAAACAAGAATGCTGAGCCTTATCGACCACTGTGCCTCGGTGGCACAGTGGTTAGGACTGTCGCCGACCATGCACATGGTCCGGGGTTCGTGATCGCACCGACGCACATCTGATATCTATGGTCGGCCTGCAAAATTTGGGCTACCGATATCCATGCTGAAAATTCCATAATTGTACCCAAAATACAGTGTGGAATCAAGCTGTATATCAAAATAAATAAATAAAATAAATAATTTACCAAAATTATTGGTTAGACCTGGACTTATGAGACCATGCTTGAAACTTCTTTAAGTGGCTTGCACGTTAAATGTAAGGTCATAAGAAATTACACTCTTTTTACGATACAGGATGGAGTGACAAATAATCTGTATAACAATTGCCGTAAGTTGAATACTTTGCATTTTTTAAAAGATATATGACGCGTTCTCCTTAGCATGCAAGAAAAGTATGAAAGTGCTATGGGGATCTGATTGACCACCGATAGCGCGTTTCTTATCTCATTAAAAGCTTCGTTTGTCTTCAAAATGCTAGCTGCTTCTCCGAGGTTTGGCGTGCATTCAGTCGGCTGTGTTACCCAAAACTACTGTTTTAAGGAGTATGGAATTGCCCTCTAATTAGGCCTGTCTCGGAAGATGGACTGTGAGACAGTCTTGGTAGCCGTCTTTTCTGTAAAGGAGAATTCGTCCATATGTTTAATAACTTCATATGATCCATCGTATGGGGCTTTTAGTTGGCGACGAACAAATAAAGGTGAACTTTTTGAGTGTGTCAACAAAGACGCCCATGTACTGTTATCGGAAGGGGGCAGGCTTAACTGAATTTACTGAGTTTTTGGGCATAACGACAGGCGAGAAATGATCTATAACTTGTGGGAAACTGGAGAGTGAAGTAGTTTCATTGTACGTACTAGCTCAGCAGTTGTGCAGCCAGCATCGGTTTTGAGAACGTCAAAGAGGAATGAGGAGAGTGACTTGGTCTAATATGCATTGTTTACGACTGGTAAACCAGCCGTCAGCTGTCTGTGAAAACGTTATACCACACCACTCGTTTGAGAATGGTATACCGTTGTTCCTTAATGCATGCAGCCTAGGACTTTAGCCAAAGCTAACGGTTGACAATACAAGATTTATTGTTTTGGAGGGTAGAAGTCCAAACTTTGCGATTCATCTCTCTACAAAAAAACGTGCTACGGTCTTAGTGGATTCGTCCTTTATTGTACTACTTCAGTCCATCGACCATAAAGGGTCTATGCATGTCAAATACACGTTATCAAGAATATTCTTGATAGGGTGGTGTCAGCTCTGTATGAACGAGTTAGGAGCAGGTATTTAGGGTAAGAAGTGTGTCGAGGGGGCTTTTGGCGCGCCTTCCCATTTAGCGCTTTTGGCAAGCTAGACATGTAAGGGCCCAACACCCAACCTCGCTATCTGTATCATACCAACAAACCGACTAATGATGCGCTTGATGGTAGTTTGAATGCCTGGGTGATGCATTACAACGTATGGAAGACATTTCGGCGATAACTTAAAGTCGCGATAGAGTCATTAGTACAGGTAGAAGGGTCACAAAGCACATACTAATTCCTTATACTTTCTCGGTTAATTCCACAACTCATAATGAATCTCGGTTTCCTCTTTTTGGAGACGAACCAGTTTCACTGGGTCTATTCCATCTATTTGAATGAACGAACAAATCATCTGTCACTGTTGTTGATTCTGGATAATATCCAATGAAAACTGTGAAACGTAATCAAGGTGTTTTGATTTTTTTGGTAGATAGATATCTGAGGTTGATTTCAGAGAGAACCTGACTGTTTTGTGATCTTCAAAAATTATGAATTTGCGAGCTTCCGCTGAATGTCGGACGTGGCGTATAGCACAGGACTCAGCCAGAAGTTCTCTGCCGAATATACTGTACTATATTCCTTATATTTGTATCTGCTTCATAAAAAAGCGAGTGGTTGACTTTACTGAAAACGTCATGTCTGCCTAGCCTACCGAATGGCATGACCAAGTGTTGAAGTTGATTTAGTTGCCCCTTCAGCCCGAGTTTGAAGTTTTCAGATCGTGGATAAACGGTATCTCAAGAGACCAGAGCATGGCGATCGCATATTCAGTATGGCCATTTAAACCTTAGTACACATTAGACTGAATACCTCCTTGTTCAGGAATAGGTGTTATAGTCTTCTTTCAGTAGTTACGCCAAAATTATGTTCTCAAGGTTACAGTGGATCAGCCTAACAAGTCAGACAGCTGCGTCACCAAAGTTTTACTATGGTGGAGTAGGCGGACATACGACAGTCCTGATCGTTGTTTCTATACGAGGCCAGTAGGTAAACGACGTGAAGTGCTTTCAGACGACTCTGGTAACCGACAGGCTTGAGTTCCCTTTGGCATAATTCGTTTCCGCTTTTGTATCAGTTTTCTCCCTGCCCTCACAATAATAGAAATCCAGTACAGTGTTCGTTGTATCAAACAGTTTTCCAAGAACAAGTAAATAATATTGGGTAGTGAGTGTGTCCACCAAAACCCTAATAAATTCCTACGAAGCCAACATGTTTGCATCAGGTCATTTTCAATCCTTTACCTGCTCAAGTCATGTTCTCGAAAATATGAATTCTAGATGTGCTTCATATCACAAACTTCTCATTTTTAGATGACCCTAAACTTGAATATTTATTTCACTGTCCAAATGACGGGCTTTCAGAAGCCAGCTGAAAACGGGCATGACTCACTACCCAAAAGGTTATCCGAATAGAAAATTAAGTAAATTTCTCTGGATGTTTCTCCCACCTACCTCTCAAAAACCTCTAGACCATTAATCTACTAAATCTCCAACATTTCCTTAACTCAAGGTTAGAGAAACACCGGTTGTATCACAAGTGTAGAAATAAAACGGGACGGCCATATCATACATCTATGAGCCCCTCATAAAACAGGACATCCACTAATTCCTTGTTCATCTCTAATTATATATCTATAGAATTAAATTATGAATATGAGACTTTGGGTTTCAAGAAATAATTGAAAAGTGAATGTGATTACTAATTAGAAAATTTTCATAAATAAAACAACCTATATGATTCAAACGTATTAAATCTCATAAAAATTTAATGCGTTAATTTGTGTACCTTCTAGACAGGTTTCAGCCTGTTTATTTAACATGAAGCTAAAAATGGTTTTTCTTGAAATTTGTATAAGAAATCAGTAAATATCGCAAAAGACAGAAAATTTACTCAGAATAATAAACCGTTTTTGTCCTCTAGTTTAAAGGTTACTTTCATAATCGTCACCATAATCTACGCCAACCTATACAAGTTGGTTCCAATATATATATTCTCCTTTAGCAACTCTTTGCGAAAAACCAGTTATGCCTTCAAATGACTAGCGTAAGCCTAATCAACGAACAGCTTATTTGACTATGCTTGAGTATGTTGCAATAAAAAGGTGTAGATCTAAACATGACTTATTACCTCATTGTATAGAAAAGCCTGAATGTACTTTGACCTAAACACCTAAATAGCCAGATACAAAATGACAAAAAAACTTTTTAAACAACACATGTTACTGTATATATTATTATGAATAGCAGTAACAGTTCCCCCAGAAGAAAAATTACAATCTTATCTATCTACAGATTCACTTGACACAGCCACATTTGAAACAAAAAGGCAATGAACAAGAGGGAGTAAAAGGGAACGAAAAAGATCATAAACACTAAAAATGGAACTGAAATTTGAACTAGAAAATATGCTTGACAATAAGTGGGGAAAATGATGGTAAACAGCATTCATTGTTTATAGGTTTGTCCTTTTAAGCCATTTAGATTACAGTTCCCTTTTGTCAATATGGAATAAATTCCCTCAAACCACGACCACCAGAACAACAATAATAACAACAAATAATTTAAATAATTGCATGGTAGATTATAAAAAAATTTTCTTATAAATTCTCTTTTTGTAAGCAAAGATTCAAAACAAACAGAATCCAGCAGAGAACAGTACACTTATTCAGTGAAACTAAACAAAATACAACTTGGAATGTAAAAATTGTCCTGGTTAATTACAAAAATATCTTTTATCAATTTCTATGTACATATTCAATGAATAACTGAATGGAAGACAACAAAACAAAAGAGAAAATATTATTAACATTAGTTTAAGATTTATCACTAGTTGATTGTTCAGTCTCTTCAGTCTTTTCCGGTGATTCAGTTTCCTCATGAAGATTTTTAATGTTCTCGCCAATCCCAGAATTCCGACAAACAACACACATAAATGAATTATCACCAATTACAGCTCCTTCACTACAACAACTGTTTAAATGCACCCAATGATTACAATAATCACAATGGGCCCAGTCGATTACCTAAAAATTGATAATTTTTAAGAAAATCATAAGTAATCGTATATAAAAAAAACAAGACTTTCTTTTTAGTAGAATTGCCTCTTAATTATTTTGTAACAAAAATTGTGTAAACAAAGAGAAATCCGTCATAACACTATGATATTAACAAAAATCAAATCACTAGTGGTGAGTTAATGCATAACACAACAAAATAATACCATAAAGCGTAATTGTGAATATGATTTGAAGTCGAAGATACAATTTGTATAGCCAGACTTTTTGGGTGATAAACTGAAGTATCAGTATTTTTTACAAAAAAAAATATCTACATTCAAAGAAAATTTTTAAATAACATTACACTCTAAGAAATGTGTCTTTTTTGATTACAGCTTGATTCCACACCGTATTTTTGGTACAGGTATGGAATTTTCAGCATGTGATATCGGTAGCCCAAATTTTGCAGGCCGACCATAGATATCAGGTGTGCGTCGGCAGAGGACCGAACTCCGGACTATGTGCATGATTGGCGAGAGTCCTAACCGCTGTGCCAACGACGCAAAAACAAACATAGGATAGTAAACCAACGAAAAGAAACTTATTCGTGTCACACAAATCACTAGGTATTTTTCAAGTTTCTAAAGTTGATCAAGGACATTTCACCACCAGGCTTTGTGACACCCTCAATTCTAACTGCATCAGAGAATTTTGTGTTGGTGTTGTTATCAAGCTTTATGATGAAACGTTAACGATCAAGTAGAAAAAGCTTAAAGAACCCCGACAATTTTCATCATCATCAGCAGCAGCATACTACGACACTAAAGAGCCTATTTTTTTCTCAGAAAATCGCTAGACTATCTAGAATATAGTACGTTCGATGAGTTCCATAATGTGATAAACTTCTAAGAGATATAGAAAAATCACTGCCACACACTTTTTGACGTATTTCGCTTTACTCAAAATAACTCTGTCAATAAAGATTATTATTGATTAATAAATACCACAGTGTTGAATTAGGACTTTAAAACAAGATATTTGTGGAAGTAAATGGTATCTAGGGAAGTAACTGATTTGAAGATAGTTCTAACGAACAATTGCGTATGATTAACAATCCAACAATTCAACCTCGCCTAGACTACTAGCTCGCTAGTTTTCTAGCTGGTCCCAAGCCTGGATAAAGAGAGAGGGTTGGGGCGTGGTGCTAGCAACTCCACCCTCAAAACTAAACCAAATTGCTACAGAAACTTCAACGCACAAATATATTAAAAATTCTAGAAATATAAACAATAACCTTATTTTTCGCTGGAATCGGAGAAGTGAAATGACGCAGGCTGGTGAAAGCCTTCATGAGTGGGACATCTAAGGGTGACATGGAGGAGATCGTGTGAAGAGGAGTTTAAACAGTATGGACTAACATGGATGCAGGTGAAAAGCACAGCAGAAGACAGTAGCAAGTGGAGACGTACAGCTGAAGCCCTGTGTTCCGCTAGGAACCCAAGGGAACAATAATAATATAATAATAATAATAACAATCCATTCGAAGTCACAACAAATGGACGATTATTTTATTCTAGTTTTGTTTATTATTGACAACTTATAACCACAGGTCTATACAGAATTGATGAGGGGATCCTAACGCTTAACGGGAATACTTTTAGCTATCACATGAGGGCCTAATGATCTTCATTTAGCAACATCAGTCAACTAGTGACAACGCGATCACTTTCATTGTCATTCGTACACCTCTGTTCACTTGCCAGTTAAAAGTATTATCATCTTGGTAGAATTTAAGAGAACTCATCTCAAAGGTCACTTCTAATGATAATCGTATAGTTCAACTAAACGATTTGTGAGGAACTGAGTGATACGAAGAAACAAGTGATCACAAAATAATGGGAATTATGAAACCGATAAAAACCATGATGATAATGAGATATTAAAAGATGGCATACTTCTGCCCTGATATTCACCACTTAATGTCCAAGTTGGTCAAAATGGTATTTACTAGTAAAGAAAGAATGCACTGATTTTACTAGATATCTGAAAAAAACGTTTTAACTAGTTGCACTTTAAACTTTCAATTTTAAACATTTTACCTGTAATTCATTTGAATTTGTCTGGTTAGGATTCGGTTGACAAGATAATTCTGGTGGTTCCAACTGGCCACAAACAACACAAAAGTCAAGTGCTTCGCCATCTTCTATGCCATCCATACTTTCAACAACTTCTTTGTTAACAGGGAATTTTGCACTATCTGCTTGAGACAACCGCATATGTTGACCTGCATTAAAGCGTGTTTCATTCGGTACTGTTTGTGAACTAGATGTTTCACAACCCACTTCCTCTTCATGAGAAATATTTACATCTGAACTAGCGAAAGTATCCAAAGGTGGAGCATCTTTGCTAAGACGAGATATTGGTTCATCCTACAACATAAATTATAAAATTTGATGATAAATAAGATAAAGAATCTAAACAGTGATAAGTGAATGTAACAGAAGTATTAATCGTATAATAGGATACAAGTCATATGTGATATAATTATCATGCATATAGGAAACAAACTATCGAAACAGGGGTCGTAATACACAATTCAGAATATTCAGAAAGTAACAGTCAGTACTACGCAATCAACACACAGTATAAGCAAATATACCGTCAGTTTGATTGAGTAAATTAATTTAGTGTATCAGAGAAGAAATAGTAATAATAATATTCAGAGCGACAATCGAGATTGATTGGAGTGAAAAATTCTTCCCAAGTCAGATGTCTTAGTAATAAGCAAAAACAAAACGATAAGGCTAATCAACAATATGAAAGAAAGCTCTTTGACCATCAAGGTTACACGTAGAGAACATTATTCTGTAAAATATAATGTAGTATTGGGCATAATGAAGTAATATTTGTTTCTCAATAAAGTGATATATATATATATATATATATATATATATATATATATATATATATATGAGATGCGCTTAAATCAAATATGGATGTAATGCGAGAATAGAATAAAAACAAAGTACCACCGTGGAGACATATGAATAAAGAAGAAAGCTTAGAAATAAATAACTCTTCGAAATTAGAACCATTTCACTTGCATGCAATGAGACGGGCTGAATAGCACCTGCTGCAGGACCATGCAAACGTATAGTTACCGATCGTCCAGAAGGAGAATACTGTGTTACAACAGCATGCGTTGTTTTGAAATTATTTTCATGAGATGACACATTCTGTTTGCAATTGAATGCATTAGATTTAGATGTTAAAATATCTGAAAAAGTAAAATTAAATACAAAAAGTACATAAAAATATTGAACTGTATCCATTATCAGAACATTTATTCACTGTACATGAAGATATTTTCTACAGAACATATATATTCTCCTAGCATATAATCAAGACTGAAGGACTTGAAACATGGAGAACATTTCCGAGTTAGGTTAGAAACTAAAGTAACTTTAAGGCATGTTTCAGTGACACACGATAAAATCAACAAAAAATGCGCAAAGTAAGGCTTTTTGAATAGATTTAATCAATTAATTCAGAAAGTCAACCTATCTTCAAGCTTTCTTTCGTAATATCTATGCGATACGATTATTTGTCTTTTACAGACTAACGAGTAATACTTAACAACTGTTTTTATCTTAACTTGCAATTTCTGAGAGAACCTAAATGCAGTGTCGACAAACTACACAACTAGTTTGTAATTAGTAGTGATCTCTGAGCTGATTGGTTTAATTGCGGAGCTTTCGTCATCCTTCTGGAAAGCGTGCAAGTTTTGGCATAAAGTGAACTGATTTCAATTCGCGATGAATGATAGAATTGCGTCTCCTGGTAACCATCTTCTTGACTGGTAGTCGATTTACACCTTTACTGATCACTTTTAATTGATTTGGATTTTAAGCTTTCTCGTCACATGATTTACTTTTTATTAGTTGGTATATTTGGTCTATAATAACATGTTTGTTAATCACATATTCATACATTTGGTTCCCTTGAAAAATTTCGATAAAGAAAGGAAGACGAAATTTGCAGTATAAAATGATATCATTCTATTTCACAGGTTCTCATTAGCTGCAGACTACCTGAAATTACAATGGTTATATAGATGATAATAACATACTTTAATGTTTGAGTGGTGGTGGAGAAGAGATACTATAAAATTGACGCATCTAAATGAAAACATTACAATGTTTTTAGTTTAAGTTTTTATCATCAATTTCTACGCTTTTAAAGTTGAAAAGAGCGGGAGGGGTAAGACTGAAAACAGAAAAAATTGATTAACAGAACAGTGTTAGATTGTAGGTTCACATAGCAACTCAAGAAACAAAAGCGATTACAGTTTATGAGATTAAGATTTGTTCAGTGAGTTGAGATCACTGAATTAGATGACTAATCAAAATCAAAATTCTGTTACCAAGGGAGTGAGAGGTTAATAACACTCTCTTTCTGTATGCATAAGTCTGGTTTAAGTCTTTTGATTGCGATTGCTTCGGCAAATCGTAGTAAATTTGCTGTCCTTTGTCTATTTAATATTTTGAAGGACTTAGAAATCTCTACGAGATGTCCGGTATCAATAATGTGTCTGGTAATTGCACTCTGGGAATATCTGCTTCCTTTCAGGCACAGGTTTTTGGGAATATGTTCAGAAAACCGGATAGAAACCCTTCTTTCTGTCTTTCCAATGTACTTTATGAATTCACGTGCACTTGCGGGAGCAAGTATCACAATTATCTATATGCATTGATATGAAAGAATAAATATCATGTCTTTTCACAGCTGATTTGTGTTCCTGGATTCTGATTCAAAGGGGACGCCCACTTTGGTGGATGTATTGTCTTTTACAGTTCATACAATTTATTTTGTAAACGGCAACGATTGTATCTTCTTTTTCTGTTGGATCTTTCAGTTTGCACAACATCAAATTAAGTGATTGAACTGGCTTGTGTGCTATGTCTGTTTCAAACGGTTTCAATATTCTAGCTGTTGTTTCACAGATATTTTTTATATATGGGAAGTTGTCCAGAAGGACGATGAAAGCTCCCGATTAAACCAACCAGCGCAGAGAACACTACTAATTGCAAATCATCCACCTGAGCTACAAATCTTCTCCACGAATACTTTATCATTCGTTACTTATCTACCTAAAATCAAAAACCAGTGATGAGAAAAGTAACTCTAAAAAGAAACTCAATATGTCATGCTTACTTTGAGGGTTTTCTGTTGCAGGAGTGGTCAACTTAGGCAAAGTAGAGTTTGGATAACATGGATCAATAGAAGTATTGATAATATGATCTTTTGATTCGCCACCATTTATAGTGTTTGTATTTACATAGTTGAGGTAGCTTGGTGGGTGGTAAGGGTTCATTGCTTCATTCATTAGATATGGATCATTATTTTCTCCAGTCATACTACCTTGTTCGTAATCTTCTATCTGCTTAAAAAATTACCACAAAAAGATAAAGATTTGTTTCAAATCCGCTACAAAAATCTTGCAAGAAATTTCATGGACAAAAAGCAACTGAAGATATTAAAGAGATCTAGATTTCAGTTTTTAATAAATTAAATTATATGAGTGTCATTAAGAAAACGTGACATTACAGAACTCTATCTCACATGAAGTTGGAAGTGTACATCGTTAAAATATTTAATATTATAACGTATGTACAGTGCACTTCCAATAAAAGCAGTTGCTAGTTAATTTAGGTTCGTGAAACAATATATACCTAGAAATTAATCGATTTATCAACATCTCTGAGACTAATTCAAAAATTAAACTGATGATGAGATGGTTTTCTTCAGTGAATATCATGATGATGGAAAATCGTTGATTTCACTAAAAATTTAGATTATTACGCCGAAAATTGAATTTAACATATGTAAAATAAGGGGCCGTAATATCCAATCCATATGTAAATAAAAAACCTGTAAATAATTATCACCAGACAAAAGTTGAAACTTATTCCTCAGAGAGTAATAAAACTTCGCTAAAATTAGCGTAGTAAGTTTGTCATAACTTAAGTGTTTTAATTATTCAATTCACTTACAGCTATTCTACTTTTGATGAATTTGCTGAAGATACTTAATCCAAAATAAATAACAAGGTGGTGGTCATTTCACTAAATTCAATGGCAATATTGCAAAAGTCAATATTCAATCATCTTTGCTTTGCTGGTTAATATTTAAGGATATACTAGAATATAATTTACGGAATCTGTCAGCTTACGTGCAGTGAGTAGACTCTGTCAACTGTCAACTGAATAAGAACCGGCATAGCTGAAGAATTAGCTAGTTGGTTAAAAGCTAAGTGAAGTTAGACTAAGTTATCGTGGAAAATACTCTTCAGGTCATTAGTAAGGAGGTTAGAAAAGGTCGCCGAGAAAATATCTTAGCATAAATTCTTCTTTTTTCTTCAAAAGACAAGATTTGCACAGGTGATGTTACTCAGTGAGCTCCTTAGAGTGTGTCTAATTCATCTCCGTTGTCTTTAGTATATTTGTTGGGCAATAACTTCTTGATTAATTCTTTCCAAGGGTTCCCTGATGTTTATCTTTTCTGGCCATCTGATCTTCAGTATCAAGCAAAGGCATTCTGTTGATGAAAGTCACATACCGTCACTTGATACTGGCTCCCTAGTTTGCGAGCAACTTTATGTCCAAAAATGGAGGGAAGGTTTTTAGTGGATCTGGCAACCCTACCTCGGAAAATTAACAATAATCGCTACAAAAAACTTCAATGCACAGCCAAAATATAAAAGGTAAACTTATTCACAATCTACAATTGTAGGAAAATTCAGCAAATGTAATAGCAGAAACATACCATAGTAGTATATGCACCAATAGATGCGGATAAATTATTAAACGGACAAATTCCCAATCTTTCAAATAAAATGATCATGTTCTGAGCATTTAGGGCTTTTTCATAAGCATGTGTTAGTACTGGAGAAGCATTATTGCGTACAAGTGGTTGGTTAGGATTTTTTTCGAAAAAGCGATCCAAACGTCTTTTGAAGTATCCCTTGAAGTAATTAGACAAATTAATACATGAATAAAGCAACAATGGGACACATTAATTTAAAACAATAGCTATGGCAACAAGAATTATGAATTTCACCTACATGAAATAGCTAGTTCACGCAGGCAATTTTTATAGTGAACAATTAAAAAAAGGCAAAATCATTCTGCAATAGATAAGTTCATTTAGTTATCAGGCAACACGCCAAACAAGGAGATATAAAGAACAGAACATAATATCCTATAACTTGATTTCCTTACAATGTCAAATCGGAAGTTCTTAAAGATAACAATAACACATAGATGTGCAAACTGTAAATTCTCAAACGGAAGATATACATCGATGTCAAGTAAACCTTAATACCAATCAAAACTCATTTCTGTCTCAATATATAAAAATAACGAATGTATAAAATCCTAAGCTTAGATCCCTGTGAATTATGTACTAAACCTTAAACTGCTTGAAATAAACACAGATTCTCAGAGGAACCCAAGGACCTATTAACAAGATATTATATTTGTAAACAGTTAAAATCGAACAATGACCTAATGCAACAGTCACTGGACAAAACAAAAAAGCCTAAATCTAATGCAAACAACATTCACTACATTTGAATTCGTAATGATGACTGTGAAGTGGAATTCCATTAGATATTTCGCATGACTACAACACATCAATACAATAGGTTGTAAATTTACAACAGATCTCTTTACCTTTCTAATGATTTTAATCGAGATACTAGTATCCACTGGTTTACAATATATACTAATTATTAAATATAAATGTGTTAAGCGTATAGAAAGACTCATATTTTAGGTGTAAAGTCACTGGCCATGCCCAGTCGACTTCGTTTCAAAATTTACATAAGCAGTAGGCCAGAAGCGAAAAATAAAAGAAGTCACATGTCACGTGATTATTATTCAATAAGAAAGAGGAATATATAAGTAAACGAAACTGTTAAAAGTACTATGAAAAAACGATAGGAGAAAATGAAACATAAATAAAAAAACAGGTAAATAACCTACAGTATGACCTTTATATATAAGTGTACAGTAATGCGAAGAAATAGAAGCGAATTATTGAAAGCAAAATCGACAGTGCACAGCAAGAACATATGTACAACTACTGATGGAGATAAGTAGTACGGATGAACAATAGACTTAGGTTACGTATACATTTGTACACGATAAGTTATCCTGAAGCATACTTGGACGCTATTCTAACACCGTTAAGTGAACGCCTGAGAAGTCTTAAATATTATTAATCTCTTCGTTTAATATTTGTCAGAAATTTCGTCCCCAAGAGGTGGTTAAACAAAACAGACAATAATTTAAGACTGGAAACTTGTAACCACCATTGAAACTGTACAATCCCATATACACAAACGCAGTTTCATAAAAGTCATAAGAATATAGTATACCAAGTGGGTCAGTGATTAATCATCTAACAGAGATTGTAGCTGTACAGGGTCTATTGCTTTACATATAAGGTTACCTTAACAACAATTATGCATCATCGAGAGCATACCTCCACAGTCAACGAAATAACTTGTCAATTTATTACAAACTATTATCATTATTGTTTCCTTTAGTTCCTAGAGGAACATAGGGCTTCAGCCTCACATCTCGATTCCGTTCGGTTCTCCGTCAACGTTTCCACCTGGCTCTACGTATGCCCACATGCTTTCATCTCCTCTTCACATGACCTCCTCCAAGTCACCCTTGGACAACCAACTCACCGCTTCCCGTTCGGGTTCCACTCGAAGGGCTGTCTAATGATGTTATTTGACGGTTTCCTCAGAATATGGCCAGTCCACCTACATTTCTTCCTGCAGATTTGTTGCACAATCGTTTCCTGCTGAGTTGGTTCGCTCCCAGAGATCCCTGTTGCTGATCCTCTCTGGCCATCTGATCTTGAGTATTGAGCGAAGACAGCTGTTGATGAAAATGGTAGTTTGTTTAAAGTGCCCTTCGTGACACGCAATGCAAGTCTCTGATCCGTATAGTAGCACTGACTTCACATTGGTGTTGAAAATCCGGATTTTATTTTTGATGCTGAGTGCTGTTGACCTCCACTCAGACTTGAAAGTAATGAAAAGTTGTCTTCCATTCCTGATCCCCGCTTTGATATCCTCGTCATTTTCGTCCGCCTGTAGTTGAAACGATGCTTCCTGATTGTTGTTTGGTGTTACTGTTGCTTTTGGCCAGGAATCTTCATCACCTCTGTTTTCTCTGCGTTCACCTAAAGTCCTATCTTCTCCGGATGCTTCTTCTGCGAACTTCTTGCTTTTCACTTGCACATCTTCCAGTTTGTGGGAAATTAGACAATACCATCGCCGAAGTTCAGATCCTCCAAGTTTTTTGTGTGGGTCCATTTTATGCCTGTTTCCTCGCTGCCCGCTGTCTGTCGTATTATCCAGTCTACCGCCCACAATCAGGAAAATCATTGGAGATAGTAGGCAGCCAGCCAGCCTTGTCTTACTCCCGCCTTAACTTAGAAGGATTCCGTGAGTTTCCCGTTGTGGATTACTTGGCATGCGGAGTTGTCGTACAACTTTTGGATGAGGTGTATAATTGTTGGCGACACCCAGTAATGGCGAAGTAGCTGCCAAATCACCTACCGATCGACGATGTCGAAAGCCTTTTCAAAGTCCATGAAGTTGAGATAGAGAGCTGACTGCCATTCCAAGCTCTGTTCAATGATGATCTTCAGTGTTGCAATTTGATAGATGCATGACTTGTTTCTCCTGAATCCAGCCTGTTCCTGTCGAAGTTTTTCATATAAATTATAGACTAATGAAATTTTTGATGATATGTCAGCAGCTTCAAAGACAACTAGATAGGAAGGTTGAAAATTTTGAAAGTCTGATTATCAATCATACACAATTAGGTAAAATGGCAATATACTGTCTGAAACAATTGAAATACAATAAATCCGTCTCTTCTGCTGAAATTTCGACTGAGTAGAAATTCAGTGTTACGTTTAACAACACCATCAGTTCAACTTTAATTAAATATGAATTTTGAATACTTGAGTTAAAAAACAAAAAAATCTAGTTGTGAATTAAGCAAATCCTTGTCACCGGTTGAAAAACTTTATTTGATTGGAATCATAATAAAAATTAAGGTAGTTATAATATAAGTATTGTTTTATATGTTCTCAGACCGTAACTGTTAGGAATTTCCTGGAACAATTTGAGCAGCTAATCAAACCGAATCATTAAAAATTATATAAAATAATCCCAGCACGTTTAAGTAGAAATAAAAACAAGGTTTTAACTGAACGTTTAGTTAATGGTTTAATAAAATCCGAATAATTCTGATGAAGAAGCTGTGGTTTACACAGAGAAACGTTCAGAGAAATGTTGTTTTGATATTTTTTCTCCAACCCGATTGGATTATTTTAAATACTTTATTATGATTCAGGTATTGTTTTAATCTGAAACTATTGAATGACTACCTCCCACAAAATAACTGGTGAAAGAGAATATAACCGAGTAGAATAAAACTGATCTACGCTCAGTTACCCATTAAATAAGGAAATGCACATCACTTTTTTCAATTCCTCGAATCTAAAGTCATTTATAATTCCATATCTGTAAAAAGAAAAAAGACTGTATACCATCCACCTGAATGGATTCATAGTAAAGAAGCAAGGTAGTAGAACTTGTCGATACCTTTTCAATACCTCTAGGAAACAGCCTTCTTGGCTTAGAGCGTGCAGCTGACATTGTCCTCCTAGATGAAGATGCTGACAGAATACAGAATCGTCTAAACACATGGAGCAGAAATCTTCGAATGTTTGGAGTCCGATTTGCTCCAGTCAAATGTCAGGTGATCCTGAAAGATTCCTCTTTAACGACTCCTAATTTAAGGACAGAGTGAGGTCCCTAAGAGTACTGACCGCATCACGTATTTGGGAAGTTGAACTGACTGACTACTGACGGAATCTGAACTTGGATACTAAAGGCTCAACAGGCACTTCAAAACTCATATCACCTCTGGTGTTAATGTGATATCGATCAAAGGACGTGTATACAGCTCAATAGTTCTCTCTATCATCTTTTGTGGCTGTGAGACACGGCCATTCAAATGTTTGCGTTGTATCTCACGTATTAAGTGGTTCAATATGGCAAGTGGTATTGACGTTAGGGAAAGAGTATTAGATAAGGAGGGTAAGTCAATCAATGGTGTTGTGAAAGTGAATCATTTGAGACGGCTAGAACAACTGCTGTGCATGCCAAGACATCGCGTTCCTCGACGGGCGATGCTAGCTGAAGTATGATTAGGGAGGTAGGGATGGTCAAAACCAAAAATTAGCATCAGTCTCTATTTCTAGGCTAAGAGTCAATGTAGTCCAGGCCTGTAGCATCATCTTACATTTGGCGGGAGTGAATCGCATGACAAAAATTTGCAGATTGCAGCTCAAGGCGTTCAGAAGACTCTGCATTTTGTCAGCGTCTTGACCTAGAAGGATTATATCATCTGCATATTCTAAGTCAACTAGATTATTCCATGATGGTAACAAGTCAATCCCTGAGTCTCTGAAGTGAGTTAGGATTAAGTTCATTCGTACATCTATGACAAAAATAAATGGAAATGGGGATACGGGCATCCCTGACGGACAACACTAGTTGTCACCAAGTTCAGGTGACAACTCGCCGCAAGCTCTCACCTGGCTGCATTAGTTCTAGTAGAGTGAGTGCCTTGATCAGTGCAATGTATTTTCTCGGCATTCCTTTTACAGCCAAGCATTGCCAGAGTACCTCTCGGTCAACAGAATCGAATTCCGCCTCTAGGTCAAGAAATATATCGATTGTTGGATGCCGACGGTAAGTATGCCTATGTTCCAGAATATGTCGAAGGGTAGAGATATGATCAATACACCCTCTTCCTGGTCTAAAGCCTGCTTGGTTCTCTCGTGTTTGTTCCTCCCGTGGACAGCTTAGTTTACGCATTATCATATCATATTGGTCAAGCTAATCCTCCTGTGATTATTGATATATATCCATATAATATGTGTGTTTGTATGACAGTCTAATATATTTTGATATGTATATATGGATCGATATTCCATCATAATTAGCCAATCATGTTAAGACTGTCTATTGATTTGTTCATTTTGAATATTTGCTCACACACTTGTTCGGACATTCTTTTATATTTTGCTCTCACACTCTTGTGTGACATATTGATTCTCCTTGTGTTTGGAAAGTAGAAGTATCATCGCAAACCTAGTGGTCTTCTGATTTCCGTCTTTCTTGCGTCAGAACTATTAAATTCTCGACCAGTACATAGCAATTATCACATGAAAACTTCTCTCCTTTCTTGTATATGGGGATAATCAGTGACTTACACCAACCCGAAGGGACTTCCTTTGATTCCCAAACGCTGCCTAATACCTTAGTTAACGAAGTCAGTAAATCGTCTACACCATACTTAAATACCTCTGGAGTCATTCCATCAGGTCCCGCTGCTTTGTCTCATTTCAGACTAGTGACCTCAGTTAGGGACGGAGGACCTGTGTCTATATCCCATTCAGGGAGGTGTTGGATGTTCGGTAAGTTGAGAGTGGCTGATAAGCCTTAATAGTTGTCTGTTGTTACCAATCGCCAATACCTTTTCCATCTCTTTCGCTTTCGACTAGCTTTCGCTCCTCATCATAGTCGGAGCTTGCCGGAATCAACCTTCTTGCGTCAATCAGTTCAGATGACGTGGTAAAAATCCAATGGCTCTTACTAACTTCAGGTTTCTAGTTATTAACAGCTTTTACAGCTGTGTCTAACAGCTAACAGCTATGTTGTGCCAGGCTTCATCAGGAAGAGTCTTGCTGTCGACCTCAGATACTCGTTCCGCTATTTCTTCCTTAAATAGGGACTCAGAGTCTCGATCTAGTATGGGATGTAACTGCTTCGCTGCTAACAATTTTCTATGTCCGTTTAATCGTACGTCAACCTGTAACAGATGAAAAGAGCTTCCAATGCGATTTAAAAGTAAATCGCTATGTCAACAGACCTTTTGTTTACAGGTGTTTACAGAGTAGCAGGAAAAGTTATGCAGAAAGAAAACTGAACGCACCAATAGTTAAGCATAATAAATATTCGAAAGAAAACAAGAAACGTAAACAAAATAGTAACTAGCATCATTTAAATGCTATTGAAAACATTAATAATCTTAGTAAGATTAATTTACCTGGAATGCCCAGAAACATGTATTTTCTACACAGTGATTATAGGCTGGATGAGGAGGAAGTGGAAACAATAAAACACCATCTTCACGCGCACGCTCTAATACACGAACACTGACAAATTGTAAGTGGCCATCATAAAACAGAATAATTGGACGAACAGATACCAGTACTCGGAAATGTTTAAGGAACCATTGTATGAAAGCATCAGAATTAACCCAGCCAGATGATGAGTAAGAGAATTTGGTACCACGTACAGAACCTTCCATCATAGTTGCTGAGAAAAGAAGTCAATATTTAAAAATAGACATAGTAAATAATTTTTATAGTGGCAGTCACAAAAATAGTACAGAATTATGCCCTACTCTTATAGGTAAAACAGAATTCAATCGTCTAGTTAAACAAGTTGAATAACTACACAAAGCAAATACCTAAAAAAAACATAATGCATTTTATGTGTTAACGTCTTTTAAAAATATTAAGTAATCACATTTATGAACTTCTGAATATATGTCATTTACAAATTACTACAATAGAACAACTGAGCAGTGTAGAACTGGAGAATTGCTTAATAGTTCAACACTTTCAAATGGTAAAGAACTAAAACTTTAGCGATCCATTAACTGATTCAGATTGCAAAAATTCAAGCTTACAATTGCGCATTATACTTTGCTTGAAATGTAGAATAACCAACCAGTGTTGTACTGAGTCAATAAAATGTCGCGTAGGAGATTTTTAAGAGACGATTTTGAGTTTTGAAATGAATTATAAAAGAAAGCTTGAGATGAATGTATTATTTTAATGAGGCCTAATTAGATAGCTGTCAAGTACAATAAATAGGGATCCAGATGAGCGTTAGAGCAGTATTATTATTTATTATTAGTATCGCTCCCTTGGGTTCCTAGTGGAACATAGGGCTTCAACTGCACCTCTTCACTTGTTTCTGTCTTCTGCTGTACTTCTCACATGCATCCATGTTAGTCCATACTGTTTCAACTCCTCTTCACACGATCTCCTCCATGTCACCTTTGAACGTCCCACTCGCCGCTTCCCTTTCGGGTTCCCCTCGAGCAATGGCCTGATGCGCGCGCGATGTCACCCAGCGGCCTCCTCAATCAGCGAGTGTCCAACCAATCTCCACTTTCTCCTGCACTTTTGTTGGGCGATTGGTTCTTGTATTGTTTGTTCCCATAGTTTCTTGTTGGTGATTCTTTCCGGCCATCTGATCTTCAGTATAGAGCGAAGACCAGCAATTGTCTTCGCTCTATATTGTGTCAGTATTACAGTATTAACTAGCAGTAAGACCAATGATAAAAATTTCTTCGCAATAAGAAATTGTCACCTGAATTCACTCTTAGTGCTTCTTGGAAATGACATGATTTAGGATAGTCATCACCTGTAATAGTATAGGCTGTTATCAAACAAAACAGTACAGTACTTTCTTGATGTAAATAGGGCACACAAGAAGTCGATCAAAGGAAGTAATAAAACGATCCTGTAGACTCATTTTAGTACATTTTGTTTAGAGAAGATATCTGCTGTAAATTAGATCGAACATCATAAAATATCATCCTTCATCACCGTTATCGAAGACATCACACACATTTATTCACTAACACATTTCTTTCTAAAAAAAGTATGATGTAAATGATATATCTTTTTTATATTGAAACGATATTTCATGCGAAAATTCTTAAGCAGCATGAACTCATGAAAACTAACAACCCACATAATGATTGGACAATAAATATTTTTTATTAAAGCATACGGGAAAACTGATTTGTCCTTAAAAACAACCTACATGTTATCCCATCACCACGATAAATCAAAAATGGGGGAATTTTTTCGCCAACAGCATTAGCAGCTCCAAGCATAGCTACAGTTGGATTCCAATAGCTTACAGACTGAGCTCGTTGTATACTGATAGGAAGAATACGTGGAGGTTGATTCTCACAGCTTATGCTTACTTCATCAACAATCCAAAAATGTTCTGCTTTGTCTTTGATGCCATATTTATTAAGAACCTAGAAAAGCATAAGAATGACAGTTGAAGGACATGATGATACACCCATATTTAAAATGTACAGAACAATATTTAACACAAGTCAAGTACAGTGATAAAGAAAGGGATGTAAAAAATACTCTAGTAATACTACAACAGTAATAGCTTTATTTCAAACGTAAAGTATCTATGGACAAGGAGTAATGAGCCCATTTAGGATTTCACCGCAATCACTCCAGTTTGGGGATAGCTCTGTGGCTGAGTATGCATAATGTGCAAGAGGAACATGACAAAACTTATATTTAAATAACTTTGATTACAGTCAAAAGGATACAAAATCGATCGATAACATACTTTTCACATCCATATACTACGATACTAAAGTCTATGGTCTACTATTTTCGAGTTCGTTGTTTTAGAACGTAAGGTGAGTATTGGATGACTGCAGAACCCACAGTTTTAGAAGATACTAAGTAAGCTAATTAATACATGACTGTCCCAAACAATTTTCCTTTCTCTTTCTCTTTCTATCTTTGAGAAATAAAAAAAAACTACTGAAGAAGACCATAAAAATTTGACTGTTCAACTCTTACACCTGAGATAAAATGTTAATCATTTCAACTTGCAGGAGTGTGCTATTTTCTTTAAGTGCCACTATGGTTAACTGAAAAATACATTCTATAAATTATATTTTCCTCGAATTCAATGACAACTGAAAGTTTTATATCGATAATCATATTAGGCTTCAATTAGATAAAGAGCAACTGGAGAATGGACGGAAGCCGGTCGAACTGACCTTCAATTCTCCAGCTAACACTTTCTTTAACTGACCACTGACTCAAATTTCCATATATGGTTCTAAATAATGCTTGACCCTCAAGAGCAATCTGTCCGATCAACGTAGGCGAAACAAATAGGAATCGACTGGTGAATCAGACTATTTTGATGTACAGGAATGACCTGCATCACTTTCACCACTCACCATATCTTTTTCAATATGTTTAAAAAACCCGTTAATTTTTGAGTAAAAATATATTCTGGGAGAGGTATCCATGTGTAGCATATTTCAGAATGATTGATAACTATAATCGTTTCATGAAGGATCAGTAAAATTGGAATTACCAGGTTCTTTTCAGGATGCAATCTAGTCAAAGTCATACTGAAACTAGGGTTATTAGACGTCATGTGATTCTTGTCCTAAACGAGGATATTATTAATTTTTTTTTATTCTATTTATTAATACTTAATAATACTCATAGATCAATTTGAGTAAAGATTCCCTGACAGCAACAGATCATTATTTTTAATTTCCCTTCAAAGCAAAGTCTACGACCTCCAAGTACACATCTGCAACAAACGAATGGTAACATTCAATGACAGAAATAAGCTTAATTATGAATTTCAAATGTCACAGTATTTTGCCTAGTAGGCTACACACGAGTCAATGACTATTAACTTCTAAAAGAGTTTGAAATATAATTCCACTGATAAACGAACAGTTAACAAAGCAGTGAAGTAAAAGAAACTTGAGCATACCTTTTCCAGTTGTTCAAAGTAAGACTGTATTGAATCCCCTGAAACTCCTTTAGACTTCCTATTGCTTCGAGGTCCGAACAAGAAGTTTTTCAAGTCTGGCCAACGGTTAAGAAACGCATAAAACCATGCCTGACTCGGATTAAGATACTTAAATGGAGCGATTCTTCCAACAGCCTTTGTCATATCTCCAGCAAGTTCGACAACCTAAATGATAAAATAATAGAAGATAGGATAGAAAAACAAATACGTCAAGGAAACTACAGTAAATTGATATCCTAATATCTGATCACGTGCATCCATTGCTGCTAGCATAATAAGCACTATATATATATATATATATATATATATATATATATATATATATATATATATATGCTGAGAATTCCATTCTGTATCACAAGTACTGTTTAGGAATAAAGCATATTATTATTATTAGATAACAGACCAAAGTTATGACCTAATCGCGTACTGCTTTGAATAAAAATAATAATAACAATAACAACCATTTTGCTAACCAACTAAATCCCAATAACAGATAACAGAGACAGATTATGCCAACTAAAAATAGTGGTGAAGTCATTTATTGTTGTTAGGATTACTACTGTTTTAATTCAGTTGCGTAACAATATCAATTTAATGGATGAATACATTAATTTTTAACATATTATAAATAAAACTTGTTTTATACATTTTTAATAGACACCTACTTACAACTCAATAAGTAATGATATACTCGAACACGCGACGAATATTTACCACTTCTTAACGTATACATTATTTTACAAAAGACAAGAAAAAATTTCCAATTAAGAGTGAGAACAGTGACGATAGCTAGAAGTGATTTACCGAAATTTGTGAATGGATTTAGTTATATGAAATGAACATTGTACGCAAAAGACATTAAGAAGATTTACTAATGTTTTTGAAAACGTCCCATAAATATGATGCAATGAAGAATAAATTAATTAATTTTCCTTCCGACTAATAATAGTCTTCAACATATAAACGAACAAAATACTAAAATAACTGGTGAAAAAAGTATTATATATATATATATATATATATATATATATATATATATATATATACCTGATTCCTTGTGTACGGATAACCAATTTTACTCATGAATAAAATATGATCGACCATTTTCTTTTCTTCTTCGTAAGTGAAAAATGTTGGAGGACCAGGTCGAGAGCACTCTAAACTAACTCTTCCATGAACTCTGTCTCGAAGAGTCGACTCAGGGACATTAAAAGCGGTAGCAGCACCACGCAAAGACATTCCTTGATATTTGACAGCATTATATGCATTAGTCATATCTCGCTGAGTCCATCTTCGTCTGCGTGTCTAAAACAAAGTGAGATTTAAGTATATTAAGTGTGTCTCACCTTAGGTCTCTGAAGACCTCGTCCTGCGACAGAGTCAAAGTTACGATAGAAAAGTATTTGTTGATGATAGTCGCTATAAGGGTCTGCTGAATTGATTACATCAGGATCCTCTTTATCTTCAACTTCATACGCATCATCAGAATACGACAAATCTTCATCTGCTGCCATAATTAGAGGTTGCTATAAGAATGAAAATAACAAATAAAAGCACAAAAGTGAAACTTTTAAAAAGGAGTAAAGGATCTCAGTAAAATTAACACATGAAAATTGAATCAGATACACAAATAGATAATTTAAAAGCAACTTATACGGAACTAAATCAATGCAAAATACGAAAATCACTAAAACAAACTGTTAGACGAGCCGTCACAACCAATTACTCGACACAATTTATTTCCTTATCAAAGAAAGGTAATCATTCCAAAATTCGGAACCAATTTAATGCGGTAAAAATTCAGGAAAGTAAGAGCCATATAAAAGTAGAAAAGTGAGTACAGATAGGACACTAAAAGAAAACCTGGGGTGTAGTTCAGTAATCAACTAACTGTATATTTATAAATTCATAATTTTCATCTTAGAAACCTACGTTCCTCTCATTTCTCAGAAAACTAATTCACATGCCTAGCTGTTTATTAGACAAATCATAATATGACCACATCAAAAAATGAGTACAACAAGCATGTTGTTTCCAATGAGACTATAAATGATAACACATCCCAAAAGAAGAATTGATCAATGCATTTATAGATTTTGAAATCTAACATGCTAGTTACTGGAGAAATACAAAAGATGAATGACTTGATCTGAATAGTACTCCATCTTGACTTCTACCACGTTAATTAATCCTAATAAGGAGCTCACACTCTTCTATGCTGTTAAAAGTAAGTCAGTGATCTTAATTTGAGAACCTGTTCTCCTCAGCAAGAGCAAAACTCTACATAGTACTGATTTTAGGGGCAGACGGCTAATCAGGCAGTGTTATATGCTTCCACCCTCTCCAATGGTTCTGCTTTACAACCTCGCTATTCGACAATATAAGTACATGTAAGCGATGATTCAGAAACAACTCATTTCACAGCGATCAATATTCTACGAAATATATTTTTCAACCGCTTAGCAGGTCGAAGTGGACAGCTGCCTACTTGATTCCACATAAGAAGTTAGATAAGTGGTTGTCGTAAGTTAGAAAATGCTGAACAAGACTATGAAGCCTTTTCACTTTTTTAGCAACTACCTCACTGAAGTTATGCTACCTCCCCATCCAACTCAGTTAGTATCCTTAAACTAAGTTTTCATACAGACTTATCCAACTACATTATTTATTGTAAGACAGGTTTAAAAAACACTTCACACTTATACTCAATCTTTGTTATTACAGGTGGTGGTTCGCAGTTTAAGACTTCGCATTTTTAAACCTTTTATATTCTTAAGCTAACTGAAAGGTACTGAATAAGTGTGCGTGATATTACTGATATTACTGCTGCTGATAGTGCCAGTGTTTCCTAACTTCTCAACCAAAGAACATCAATCAACTGGACGTGCTGGGCCCCATTGGGAAACACGTTACTGTTAACACATTTCAGTGCAAATGGTAGTTTCAGAAATGAATATCGGTGTTCTCTTGCATATTACAGGATGAAAATAGCTTCATTCACCTTAGAATACGTCAACCGGCATTTCTGAAACTGCAGAATAAGAGTTCTAATAACTTTTGAACGGCCATTATTATAGACGTACTTAGATTCATAATAAAGTTGTAGATATGATCATAACTAGACCTAGTAACATAATGCAGGTTTTTACATTTAGATTATCTGATTTTATCTGTTCCAGTTAAAAGCGTCCAATACATGAATTTTAATGCAATGACGGGGCAAACCTTCAAGGCAAAGCACATAAGGAGTCATCTAGTTAGGAAGTTGTTGGTTGCTTGGTGGGAGACGAAAACACAAGAGATGAAAAAGGCATCAGCCACGAGCAATACCAGACAACTATTTAGGCTTACTAAGGAAAGAGGTTGAAAACGGAAAGTGATGCGTGAGATAATCTCTGAGAAAGGCGGCGCCTACATAAGCTACCATGAGAGATGACTGGACCGTTGGAGGCAACATTTTGAGGAGCGATTTAGCTTACAGCCCCTCCCAAGTAGCCCAGCATCCAATGCTTACCTGAATGGGGTGTAAACATGGATCCTTAAACTCATTAGTTTTTCTTTGGCTTTTCATGTCTTATTATATTCGTGGTGTTAGAATGTGATGTCAATTAAGATACGATACACAGCTTACCAAAGAAGCTATTTTGGACTTTAGATATTGATGAGATTGTCTAAAAAACAAATTACACTTAACATTTACGAAACACTCCCCCGAAGATGTTATTCTAGAGACTCCTCCTCAGTTTTATATCGGAGTGAGACAGTATAGGTTGATGTAGTTTTTCATAGTTCAGACTTGAACCTCGATGTATTTTACGAAGAAATTATAACTCGAAAATTACATGTTAAATATTATGCTTTTCTGAGGCTGGAAGGTCTCTAATTTCATAGCCTAATCAAACTTAGCCATGTATCCTCACGTAGTTCGAAAGCTTCAATAACAATAAGGATTTACCTACTAAAAAACCAGAATAGATGCACACCTTTTAATATACATATTAATGAATTGACTTGATCTAATAAGCACTAAAACTAGGTTTTACGGTTGTAATGTCTCTATCTGGAAATAGTAAATAAGACCTTTGTTTACCTGATACTTAAAGAATATTGTAGAGCATTTGAAATTGCAACATAAGCAACATCCAACTACTTACAGAACATGAATATGACTGTAACAGTAGTGGTGGAACTGCAAAAGCAGCTCTGATGTAAATTTAAAACAGTGGTACTTTCACGCTACACATAACAGACTGTAAAATATTGCACCTACGAAAAGACATACATGTGCATATATCAAACTGATCAAAATTAGGTGTGTGAGTTATTACTACTAACTAACCTTAAACTATGTATGTGGAATTGGGTTTAAGGGTATTACCTAATGATTATAAACTATTGTCCTAAACGAATGGGTAATACTTATACAAACAAAGGTCATACAGACAAAACAGAAGTATTAGTTATTGGTAAGGACTAGCGAAACAGACCCATTTTTTCCTTCACGTCCCCCAGTGGAACATAGGGCTTCAAGCTAGTGGCCTGAAATTTCTGTAGCAGTGTTTATTTTACAGGATGGGGTTGTTAGCCTCATGCCCAACCTTACCTCTTTACCAGAATTATTTATTTTATTTTTTTATTTTTTTTTATTTTTGATTACAGCTTGATTCCACACTGTATTTTTGGTACAAGTATGGAATTTTCAGCGTGGATATCGGTGGCCCAAAATTCGCAGGCCGACCATAGATATCAGGTGTGCGTCGGCGAGGGCTCGAACCCTGGACCATGTGCATGGTTGGCGAGCATCCTAACCGCTATACCACCGACGCACGAAACAGCCCCATTACTGAAGTAAAAAGCAGCTGATGGTATAAGACGTGTCACTAGGCCGTGTGTCCAAATACTAGTTGAATCACAAAACTATTTCTTTTGAAAGACTAAGTAACATGCCTCATACCATCAGCCGAGATAAATATGTGAGGTATTTATCACACTCGTAGTAAACACTAAATACTTCACTTCACATTTCTGGCTTAGCGAGGTGAAGGAGTGCGTCGGCCGGGGATTGAACCCCGCACCATGTGCATGGTTGGCGAGCATCCTAACCGCTATACCACCGACGCACGAAACAGCCCCATTACTGAAGTAAAAAGCAGCTGATGGTATAAGACGTGTCACTAGGCCGTGTGTCCAAATACTAGTTGAATCACAAAACTATTTCTTTTGAAAGACTAAGTAACATGCCTCATACCATCAGCCGAGATAAATATGTGAGGTATTTATAACACTCGTAGTAAACACTAAATATTTCACTTCCCAATTAAATCCAACTATAGCCACTTTGGGGCTGTACTCAATCGGTGTCAGCTCAATCAACAAAGTTATACGAAGTCATGACAACCGTATATATGCATTTTAAGTGTTTTACTTCAGACTTATTTTTGATCATGATAAAAAAGTGAAAGCGGAACTTTACGTAAGTTGGAATCAATTCAAGTCGATACACTTCAAAGCACCACAAAAAAACAAAAATACAACAATTTAACAGAAGATAAACAGTGTGACAGAGATAATAACTTTAAGTTGAGCAGTGATTTTTGGAATTTTGAACATGACAAATACATCTGTGTGCTGAATACTTTCACTGTTATCATCCGACACGAATGGAATACTAACAAAGGTGAAGTGGAAGAATCTTTGATATCTGGTTCACCCGCTAAAGCATTCGAAACATATTAAACAAGGCTGTCTGAACTGCTCTCCGCCCACTCCAGACTGCGCAGCGGGATAATCAAAATTTTCGGACAGATTACTCAGGCTTCTCTCCAACCTAATTGTGCTGCAAAAATCAAACTCCTGCAATGACCAAATGGTTTGATCTATAATCCTGCAGTACAGTCTCTGCCTTCCGCAGCTAAGCTGTGAAGAAATCCAGTAGGCAGTTTAAGAGGACATATGATTATAGGGTAGGTTGATGAACTATCAATGAAAATGTCAGGAACTCTTGATGCCCCAGATTTGCTTGGTATCAATGCCTTTAAATCACTTTTACACCAATCACTCCTCAACAGTAAAGACAACAATGACATTCTTTGGTTTTCAAATCACGACAATCAGCCAATCACAGAGAGTTCAGAATGCTTCCGTATATCGTGTGACCATTAATACAACCTACTGTTAAATAAACATGTGAAATCGTTAGATTTTAAATAGCACTTCATTACACTTGGTACGATTCAGGAATGATATTAAAAGGTGTCCCATCATAATTTACTATTCTAAAATGGATAATCCTTAACAACTTTTAGAACAGAACATCGAGGTTGATAACAGAAATGAGATAACATGCAAATTGCCAGATTTCAACTACAGTTATGGGCATGATATTGATTTTTTAATTGAGGCATTTGCATGAAAGTTGTACTGTCAACCGCATGTTAGCCTAACGCATATTTAACTTCTACCTTATAAACTAAGAGGTAATTAGAAAAGTTAGGTATATCATGAAACAATGTTTTTGCAAAGATAACTACGAAATGACTCTAAAGAAACATATCCTGGTAGTTAATTATGGACATTCTAGTTTGTGAAAAATAACATTAATCGTGTACGCTTATGCACTATATTTACTAAAACTTCATAATCAAGTCTCATTATTCATGAGATGTTCGTTGAAACTAGTTTGCAGAGAAAAATGAACGATGCCAAACCTAACACAGCTCCCTAGATAATTGATGCGCTTTTTACTTAGTTAGGCTGAAACATATCTAAAAGTGAGGTTTGTGTAAATATACATACAGAGCCATTTACTAGCTCGTGGAATGTGGATGAACTACAAGTGATGGTACAAAAAAATTCAGTTAGCATGGACTGCATTCAGAGCCCAGATCAGTCTAAACATAATCAAATGTGTTCGGGCCAGAAACTTTGTACATGCATAAAATACATACATTAAAGTACTTTTTATGGCATATGGGAGGACAACAGTATACAACATGTGTCCGTATATGTAGAACCATGAAATGACTCCATATTACCAAAAACACAAGTTAAAATGTGGATATGTGGTGATAAGAACTGAACCAATGTTACGACAGCTAGTCAAACATGGTGAAAACAAAGATTGATAATCCATTATATCAACGTGCCTCAGTCAACTCAGCATTAAAAACTGGCAACACACAGTCAGCAAGTAAATAGAAATAGACTTACGTGTACGTATACGAGCTATTTGACAGGTATCAGATAAATCGTAAGGATGCTAAATAACACAGTTAACCAACTTTTACCGAAAATTAGTAGAACTTTTAAACATGCCACATTCCCACAGCTCTGAGTTTAGGGGGTGAGAAAAACAAAATCAAATAGACTTAACAATCGTAACCAGTAAAATGTAAATAATTTTCAAAATTCTAGTCTGCGAAAATGTTAAAATTGATTCAATGGAATGCTGATTGTATGGAAATGCTGAATTTTTTATGTTTGGACACAACGTTACGTTATTCTATCAGTCAATCATACATATCTACGTATACACTGTTTAAACGTCGCTGATTTAGAGTAGTTCATACCTATCGACTCCTTCGCCCTTTTGCCTTTTATGTTTTTTTCTGAAAATGCAACCGTCTGTTTTAATAGTCATCATGAAATGTTTATTATGAAATGGGTGAAAACAGGAAATGAAGCTCTCACATTCTACGTCTAGAGTCTGCCTTCTACTAAAGCAGCTTTCAGAAAGATTCTGTCGGTTTTTCCTGAGACCCCGTATTAAGAGCTAAGAAGGTTTTTTCAGAATGCAAATATAAATTGTTGCCCGAAGTATACACGAAAACATAACGGCAGATATGATTTGAACAAAAATTAAGGTGGAAGCAGACGTGGATAAAATCTTAACGAACCTGATCTTTTCTACGAAAGTCAACACCATTTCATATTATCAGCAACTCTATTTCCTCATGTGGATGGAGATTTAAGAAATAAATCTGTCCTGTGATAAGTCGCTCTGTAGTCGTCAAGAATCTGTCATTCTAGATGGACAACTCGCTGAAATTCCTCATAAATCAGTAGAAGTGCACTTTTCTGTAGATGCCTCTAATTAAAGGCAAATGAACACACTAGGAAGATCATAATTTACCAAAATGTTGAGATCAGCTGTTCCATCATACAAAAGGCGATGCAAATCTTGAAATCGCTGGATAAATGAGGTGGATTTATGAGAGACAGATGGATTTGAGAGGAGACAAATGCAATCACATTGGCTAACATGCAATCTATACCATGCCTGTTAGATGCAGTGGGATATAGGCGTCTAGATTTTACAAAACCTCTTGTCGAGAAAATATTCCGATTGTTTTCAGCTTTCAAAACATGGGATTCCCATTGGATATCACCACATGAATAATTTTCATAATACATGTCGTCAATCTCGTCTCAAAATCCGTTAATGCCCAGCTTTTGCTACGCCGGGCCTCTCGCTGTCCCTCGAAGCCTTTCAGAAACGCTTAGTACTAACGGACGCAAAAACCAAAACACCAATTGGCGACTCGAGAATTCTTTATTCTAACACCAACACATGGGCAGCATAATAACTAAGGTCTATGAACAAATATTACAACAATAAATCACGATATTACTTCTGACGGTTTTTACGTGCTTTCTGAACAGCGGCGACCGATGAGACGATGACTGGTGTATTGATGCCTCCGCGAAAATATAGAGAAGTTGTGTTTTTGATTAAACAACCATGAACTGATCGTTCAATGCTCAAAATGGCATGCATTTCCTCGTGCATTTATGTTTATATGAAAATATAAATTATTATTATTACATTGACACATATCCACCTTTGAGTGGTGATATCCCTATTCACCTTTAGTCCTCAAGATTTGTCTGCATCTTACGTGTTAGCCTATCGGTATTCCTGTTAGGTAATTGCTTACGTGTAAGAAACTAGTTTCCTGCATTTTGATAACATTTAAAAATTTGAGTGGACTGCATTGTTTTGTTTTTCAAGTTCACCAATCACTCAGTAAAGTAGAATAATCACACAGTTTTATCATTCATTATTGTGGTACTTGAAGGTTTTCTGTTGCGTGCAGCGAATAACTTACTGTACTCTTGATTCTAATTTTGACAGCCGCCCTGAATCAAACATCGTTACACACTCCCCGTTATAACAAACATTACAAAAGCTAAAAGGTGGCTCAAAAGTAATCCATAGTGAACACTGTATGCGGAAGAAACTTGAGTGACGCTCCATACTCTGTGGTTATAAACGTTCCGCTACCTTTTTCAAATGTTCAAAATATTAATAAGTTATGAACGCCGTACAAGTGTACTTTGTATCAGTAGTGAAAAGAAGTGAATGCACTTCCTCACATCCAATTCTTAATTCAATCCTTATAGCAACAAACTGCAAACGCCACACAAAACTAGATTGATTTCCCCCTATCTGAAACAACCTGTCAGCGTGTGGCAGCATGATACTGCTAGTAGTCGAAAGTGTTTTTGGCACAAGTTACGATTCATCCATTTCTACCGCTCCAAGGGGGAGTAAAGGTTGGCTTATGTTTGGCTAAGTTAAATCAACCATAGCCTTTTTTTATGTCTTCCTGAATTATTTTAGTAATTTTCTGAGGGAATAAGACGAACATTTTCACATGAATAATGGGCTAGTATGGATAAGCATTGCTGTCAAATTCAGAGATGTAACACCAACTTATGATATGAATGGGGTGCTGACTTTTACGCGGAGTACACCGTATGCAAGCTCAATTTCCCATCCTCCAGCTCCTATAGTACATGTTTCCCTTTGACCACAGACGAGTTTAAAGAAATTATTCGTCCGAAATGTGAGATATATTTCAGAATCAAGTTCGTAGAACTATGATGACTTAATAGCTACCTAAGGGTCGCGTACGAAAGAGCTAATGTAACGCAACAGCGTGCGAAGAGGCTCTAATGCTTGACCGCGAACCTTCACCTTGACTGGTTAACATGAACAGTGAACGTCAGTACTTAGCCTTGAGTGATGGATGCTGTCAGCTAATAGTTTTGGAGAATTAGTTATCCTTACTCTATGATACCGCAGATTTTACCGACGAAATCATACGTCAGTGTTTAAGTGATTGTATTATGGCAGGCGAACAAGTTAATTCTAGGAAACAAAATGTCTAGCAGCCTTCAAATTATTCCGACTATAATAAATTTGAGGTTTTATTGGTATCTGTTCAGCTCTTGTGAGTTGTACAATAATTGCAACGTATTTGTGAAATTCCTTGTCTTTATGAGACATTCCGTGCGTCGGTGGGATAGCGCTTAGCACGCTTGCCAACCATGCACATGATCCGGGGTTTGATCCCCGGCAGACGCATTCCTTCACCTCACTGAGCCAGAAATAATTCAGGTATAGAGGAAAGCTTGGGAATGAGGCTAGCAACCCCAAACTGTAAAAATAATCACCACTGCCACAGAAACTTCAAGCCTACAAGCTGGAAGCCCTACGTTCCAATGGGGAACATGAAGAAAACATTATTATTATTATTTTGACACGTTCCATCGGAAAAGTACTTGTGGTGATTGACTATTTCTATCTTTGTATTGTTTAAATACTTACTGTTGATTGTTAATATTTTCATATACGAATTGCATTAGAATTCCGCTAAATACAAATTCCTGATTGCTGCCCTCTCTGAGTTTTGGTTGGATTCGTGTAATTCCGTCATCTCGAAATACTAACATTTCAATTACAATAAATTACTACAAATTGGCGTCGCGATGGAGCTAAGTAACCTGGGAAAATTCCCTATTAATGGGTCTCCGCGGGAGATTGCTGATTATTTGGAATGCTTCGATGCGTGGTGCATTTCCAAGAATGTTCGGGATGACAAAATACCAGCACTTTTTATCACTACTATTGGGCTTGATGCATATAGCCTGGTGAAGAATCTGGCGTTTCCAGATAAACCCATTTCTCTGTCATATGACAAGATCCGTGAACTTCTGACAAATCACTTTCATGTAACTACATTTGAGACCAGAGAGAGGGCTCACTTCAACAAACTGGTACGTTCTCCCAACCAGAAGATTAGAGACTTCATTCTTCAACTTCAAATTCAAGCCTCAAAGTGTAACTTTGGAGATCAGCTGCATACTCAACTACGTGATCGTCTAATTGCTGGAATCAATATTCCTAAGTTAGAGAAAGAGTTAATTCAGATTCCTTCTTGTACTTTCAAACTGCTAAAGATGTATGTATTACATATGAAGATGTCCATAATGAATACTCTGCTCCCACTACGTCAGTATCTGATGTTATGCTTTCTAAAGTCGAAAATACAAGTGTTCATGGAAAGAAATCCAAACTGCCGTCCACAGGTAATAGAATGCAGCCAGAGATCAAAAACATTAAACCGTGTTTATCCTGTGGAAAGTTACATCTACGAAGCACTTGCCGTTTTCGGAGTGCTAAGTGTCACAAATGTGGTAAAGTTGGACACATCAAGACTGTGTGCAGAAGTTCGAATACATATGTTACTGAGAATCCTGATAATTCTTCCAATTTATCTGGTAAAATGCAGTCGATGTCTCTTTCAACTTTTCCCAATACTCAATCTCATCTAATGAGAACCTTCACTACAAGTTCAGGCAAGTCCCATTGTTTTATAATTGATACTGGGAGTACTGAATCTATAATTTCTAAGAAAGATTTACAATCGATTTGTAAGAATGTCCAGATAGATCCTACTACTAGTTCAATTACAGGCATAACTGGTCATAAATTACCTCTTATCGGGCTACTAACATTTCTTTGAAATCAGACAGTGGTAATTTTGTAAATATTCCCTTTCTTGTTAGTGAATATGGTCCATCTTTATTGGGATTAAAAGCCCTTAGATTGTTAAATGTCGAAATTTCACTTTGTACTGAGTTGTTTGATGAATCTTTGTTCAGGGAATTACTTCTCCAATGTTCAAAGAGTGTAGGTGGTATGAAGATTCAGCCCATCCATCTTGAAATAGAGGGTGATCCTATCTTCCTGAAACGCCGATTAATTCCATATGGATTGCGAGATGCAGTTAAGAAAGAGTTAGACAAGTTGGTTGAGCAAGGCATACTTATGCCAGTTGAGTCTTCAAATTGGGCTACTCCTATTGTTACGCCACTAAAGGCTGATGGAAAAACACCTAGAATTTGTGGTGACTACCGCCTTACACTCAATAGTCGTCTACTACAGCAAAGTTGCACTACTCTAGAAACTGAAGACATTCTCTACAAGCTACATGGCTCAAGATACTTTTCCAAAATAGATCTAAAAGATGCCTATTTGCAAATTCCTCTTGATGAGGCGTCTAGTGCATTAACAACCATTAATACTCCATTTGGATTGTTCAAGTATAAGTTCTTGCCTTTTGGTTTAAAGGTTTCACCTGCAATATTTCAAAATGTAATAAATCAGATGATAGATGGATTAGATGGTGTTGAGTCATACCAAGACGACATTATAGTTCATGGTCCTAATATCGAATTGCATAATGAACGTCTTTTAAAACTGTTCAGGCGTTTATGTGAGAATAATGTTCTTGTTAATCCATCTAAATGCCATTTCACTTTGTCGTCTGTATCATGCTTGGGATACACAGTAGACTCCGAAGGTTTCAGACCTGATGCTAGTCGTTTGGCACCTCTAATTCAAGCACCGTCACCTAATAATATGTCATCGTTGAGATCATGGATAGGTACTCTTCAGTTTTACTCCAGATTCATTCCCAACTTCACTCAACGGTTATCTCCACTTTTTGACATTGTCTCCAGTAAACAGTTTAAGTGGGAACAACAACATGAGAATATCTTGAGAAAAACTTTGGAGTTTCTTAATAAACAAGCTTTCTTAAGACCTTTTTCATCGAAAGATAAGTCTGTTCTCACTACAGATGCTTCTCCTATGGGTATAGCTGCAGTACTTGAGCAAAATGGACAACCTGTTATTTGTATTTCAAGACGTCTAAGTAAGAGTGAACAAGGGTACTCACAAACCCAGAAAGAAGCTTTAGCAGTTGTATGGGCAATAAGACGCTTGCACAAGTATCTCTTTGGTACTAAGTTTCACATAGTTACTGATCATCAAGCTTTGAAATTCATTTACAATCCAGAAAAATCTTTGAATAAATCATCTGCTGCTATGGTTCAAAGATGGAGTTTAGAACTAAGTGCATATGATTACACTATTGAACATAGATCGGCAAAGGATATACCTCATGCAGACTTCTTATCTCGTTATTCATTATTTGAAAATATTGCTAATGATACTGATTGCTTATTAGTCCAGCCGTTACCGGTGGATCGAGTTCGACTTATAAATGATACTCGGAAATATTACGGATGTGTTATAAATGCAACAAAAAGAGGTTGGAATGTTCAGTGTAAGCGAAGATTTCCAGACTTTTATAAGCGAAGAGATGAGATTTCAGTCCATCCTGAAGGATTTCTATGTCTGAATGACAGAATTATTATTCCTCCAACATTAAGATCTGCGATTTTGGATGATCTACATTCTGCTCATCTAGGAGCTGATAAGATGAAATCATTAGCACGCCTAACATGCTGGTGGCCGGAAATTGATGCTGACATTAACAAAAGATCAAAGAGCTGTTCTAGCTGTTTACATAAAATGTCCTATGGGAAGTCATCGTGGACACCGTGGCCTGCATCTTGTGAGGTTTGGCAGCGTATTCATGCAGATTACTGTGGTCCATTCTTAAATTCATATTATGCTTTAGTTATTGTGGATTCTTATTCTAGATGGCCAGAAGTCATCATTACAGATAGTCCTAATGCCAAATTCACTCACAGAGCGTTGAGAAAGATTTTTAGTCGAGAAGGAATTCCAGATGTCTTAGTTACTGACAATGGTACTCATTTTACGGAGAAGAACTTCAATGATTGGCTCAAACATATAGGTTGT